CGCACTTGATTTCATTTTTCAAACCACAGTTATATCTTGTATTGTGAAAGAATTATTAAAGATCCAAATAGATTAATAAATTCTTAATGCATAAACTACATCTTACAGTAAGCAAAATAAAATTTAAAAGGAAAAAAAAAAAAAAAAAAAAAAAAAATAAAAAAAAAAAAAAAAAAAAAAAAAACAGAACATTGAACATTATAATTTTTGAGCTGAGCAATTTTTATTAATACATACAATTTCAAAGGTTCCAAGGGATCACATTAATGTGCTGCTTATTAAACTCAGACGATATTTTTAAGCTACGAAATTTGATTTGAACCGCCATTTCTCCGAATAAACACATCTACTTTTTTCTTTTAATGACGAATTCGGATATTAAACCTTAAAAATATGGGGGGGGGGTAATCTGAAAAATATACTTCCAATGGTTTTTTGTCAGGCGGTCAAAAGCCTAGTCCCCTTAGTAATTTTTGCGTTTTGCGTGATTCACCATATCTTAGGAACTATTCCAGCGAAAATACAAATTTATTGCACAAAGTCACATCTTAACAAATTCTTCTCAAAGACAATTTTATCTAAACTATATTTTTAGTTAAAACTATTTTTTATGGCTTATATTAAAAAAAAAAAAATTTAAGGTAAAATTTTTTTTATAGTATTTAAATTTTTTTAATTTTGGATTATCCATAAATTTTAATGAGAATCGATCAATTAATTTCTTTATAAAACAATTTCAAAAATACTATTTTTTACCTCTTAACTTCTCATTATGACTCTCTTATATGACTGATTCAGCTCAAATTTTAGAATTTGTGCTTTAAAATTGCATACATTTAAATGATGCAAAAATTCTTTTTAATGCAATGAACAGTGGTTAAGATGGTAGGGTCCAGTTACAAGGATATAACACTATAAACTTTCTCACTATCGAATTTTTTATAATGTTATTTTTATCTCAAACTAAGAAAATTTATATTTCATTTAAAATAATTAAATAACCCAGATTTTAGAAAAAAAAATTTTTTTTTAATAAAATATTATAGACAATTTTTAAAGCACATTCTAAGTTTAAGAAATGTGCTAAAGAATAGTGGAATTGTGTTATTGTAAAAAATTACTTCCAATTTGTTACAAAATCAGTCATTTGTTTTTAAGTTTATTTACAGATTTTATTCCAAGTTGGTGATATGGAGATTTCTGCTAAGTGACTATCACCACAAATTCTTTAAAAAACAGTAAATATGTTAATTTTTTTCACATTTTCAGGAAAATTTTCAGGAAATCAAAGGATTTTGATTTATTTTATTCCAGTTCAACTTAGTATTTTATGCAATTTAAAAAACACCTAAAAATGTATTTAAACTTATTTCCTAAAATTACACAAACAATTTTTAACTTCTTTTTTTTTTCATTTGATAATTTAACATTTTCAGGACATCAAAGGACTTAAGATTTATTTAATTCTATTTCAACTTAGTATTTTATGTAATTTAAAAATATCTAAAAATGTATTTAAATTCATTTCCTAAAATTGCACAAACAATTTGACTTTTTTTTTTTCATTTGATAATTTAACATTATAAAATATATCTTTTATAAAAGATAATACCCACGAAGTAAATGATAAAAAGTTTTATCCCTTTCTTTCATTCAAGACAGCACAGTCCTTATCTTAAAAATTTGCAATTAAAATACTAATACCATAGATTCTGGACAACTAGGGAACAGGGCATTATGGTCAACTTAGAATGTGAAACAGCAAGTTTTTGAACACAGATTGCATTTAAAATATGTAACACCATAATTTTTTATCCATTGTATGAAAGAGGTAGAAAGCAATGATCTGGTGCACAATTTTAACCCTCCAATTTGCACTCAAAATACAATATTGAAAGTATTCAAAGCAAGGCTAAAGACAACTGGGTGAATCTGGAGCAATGCAGTGAATATGTGAAATCAGATTACACTTGAAATATGCAATAAAATTTCTTAAATACACAATACAGAGACAGCTGCAAGGTGGTCCATGCTCAATTTTAACCCCTCTGATTTGCATTTAAAACACAATATCTTATGGATTCAAAACAATGTTGAAAGGTGATAGAACACCCGCCACCCAAAGAGGTGACCCAGGTTCGAATCCCAGCAATGGGAATTTGAATTCCGCACCCGGCTCACAACGACCATAGTGCAAACGTAAAAGATCTTCAGTGGTAGATGAATCATGGGTTAAAGTCCTCTTGCCGTGTCAGGCTAACCGTGGGAGGTTTTTGTTGTTTTCCTCTCCATGTAGCACAAATGTGGATTAGTTCATCAAAAAAAACCTCCTCCAAGGCAAATATCTCCCAATACTTGATCCAGGAGTTCTCTTGTCTTCTGGATTGGGTTCAAAATTACAAGGTTATGGAATTGAACATTGGTAGTCATGAACTCAAAATTGGGTCAGCTCACCAATGGCGGTAATAAAATTAATAGGCTAAAAGGGTAACCCGGGTTCAAATTCCAGTGGTGGATGGTAGATAAGAATTCTGGTCCCGACTTGCACTAACCACAATGCTGACATAAAATATCCTAAGTGGTAGATGGCTCATGGATTAGAATCCTCTTAACGTCAGGCTAACCGGCGAGAGGTTTTCATCTTAATGCATCTCAAATGCGAGTTAGTTTCATCAAAAAGTCCTTCACGAACGCTAGTTTGTCCCAATGCTTGATCCAGCTATGGAGTTCCCTTATCATATGGGTTGAGTTCAAAATTAAAAGGCTACTGCGTTGAATACTGACAACTGTAAACTCAGAATAGGGTCAGCTGTTCAATACCGGATATTAAATAAAAATAAGAGATTAAGAAATTTATGTGACTTCGTTAAACCGTATAAATGCAAATTCTATAAATGACCAGACGCAAAAAATAATCAATAACTAACAATAGCATAACAAACGTAGTATTATTTAAATTTATAAACTTGCTGAAGATAGAAAGCACAGGGTCATTCCAATAAATCCGGAGAATCAAATAAACTAAAAATTATAAATCGCTAGTAAATATTATGTCTTTAACTTTAAACAATCACAGATAATGCTCGTTATGTTTTATATTAAATCCACACTGATTCAGAAACCAAGTGCATAAGTTACTTTTTTAAATTTAATGCTGTAATAAATTTAAAAAAATATTTATTATAAGATTTATTAAAAATAAATAAATAAATAAAAATAAGAAATTAAAAAATATAAGATACTAGAGCTTGTTTTCGACTTTTGGGCTCGTTTCAATTAAAAGTATTCAATGAAAAAGAATTAAATATTTTTTATTTATTTACTAAGATTTAAATGCTGTTAAAATGTAATTTTTTTTCTCCAAGATTGTTGGTTAAGTAACTTAAACTTAGTTATTGAATGTAGTCAAAGATATTTTAATATAAGTTTGTAAAAATATTTTTCAAAAATACTGAAGAAAAAAACAAATTTATACATGAGCACCTCCTACATGATTTATTCATAAAGTACAATTATCATTCTTAAGGTAAAAATATGTTTTGGGTAACTTAAAATTTCAATTTAGGATTGATTTTTCAACCTGTCAGTTGTCGATTTCGAACTCACCTAAAAATGGAATATTTGCTTTTATACATATCAAACAATTTATTAATGCAGATTATCAAAAAACATGCGTTACAAAGAAATTTTAGTAAAAACTAGCCCAAATAATTCTACAATTAAAGAATTTTGCTTTAGTACATAGAATATTATTGACAAAAAAAAAAAATATCTATGCTGTTTTTCTTTTTAAACAAAATTATGTAGGAAAGAAAAAAATTCTTTTTACAACTACGACACAAAATTAATTTGATTCAGTAAAGAGATTACATTGATTATTTTTGTTCTCAAGTTCGGTATTACAACAGATAGAAGTTTTAAATAATGATGTAACAAAATAACTTAATATTGAATAAAAAATCATTTAAAAATGATTTTTACAATACCATGAATTAACCTGCGTTGTTTATAAGAAAACTATCTTTAAAAAAAACTTAATTAACTTATCTTTAAACTAATCTCACTTAAAACCTATCTCTATAAAAAAAACTTAATCTTTAACTGCTCAAAAGCATTTCCAAACTACTTCATGCACTATTACTCAACATTAACATTATATATATACATATATATTCAGAATTAAATTATTTTACAATCACCTATGAATTTCATTCATGTCTCAAATAAGCCCCTATTTTTTCTTTTACAAAAATTAAGTAAACAAAATTTTTATCAAAAAATTAAGCTACATATCAGCAAAGCTAATTAATATACCAATATATACACAACATAAACATAGTATGAAAACAAAGATTGTTAAATTATGGCAAAAAAGGAGTATTATTTTTAAAAATATTTCAATTTAACTACATCAGTTACCTTTTTTTCAAAACACTCAGTTAAACCTTAATGTTATGGCTGGATTAACTTTTCTATACTATTACATTATTCATTATCAGTAAATAAAAGAAAATTGTAATTCTTAAAATTTTCATTAAATATTAACAACTTCTTTACAATTCACTACATAACTTTATAACATCAATTCATGTTACCTTTCTTTTGCACATAAATTTCTTAAAAAGATATAAAAACAATAACAGGATTATAGATATTTCATCTAAAAGAAATAAACTAGCTTAAAACTGCTTAATTAAACATCAGTCATGTAGCATAACACCTATAATATCAAACTGAAAGTTAAATTATTGCATATTAAATATCATAATTTAAAAATTATTGTACTTCTATATAATCATTTGTTAACATTTTTAACTACTGTGTCATTGCTTTCTTCAAGAAGCTACTAACTTATTTAAACAGCCCAAATATGAAATAACGAAAAGAGAATTATTTACTTTCACAACGAATTGCGGATTTAAAACATTCATGGTATCTGTCATTTATAAATAATATTGGACAGATAATAAATATTGTGTTATCAATAATTCAGTACTCACCTGTTGAATGCTGATCGGTTTACTATTTGACAATTACACATTTTTATTGGATAAAATGAAGAAATCTAATAATAATTGATTTAAAACACAATATCTGATCAATCAATAACAAATATAAATTATCCCAAAGTTACGCCCGGTATTCAAATAGCAACAACTACGTGTACACCATAAAAGATATGAAATAAACGCACCTCCAGGTAAATTAAATAACAATAATAAAAAAAAACATCATTCACCCAGGTAGACTAAAAGACACTAGAGAAAGAAACTTCTCCAGCCAATAAAATAGCATCTTATTTTTCTCAAACGACTATTGGTTGATTCGGTGGAAGGAAGGAGCCTGTTAATGAAAACAAAAACCCTGTTTCCTGAATTTTACGAAGATAATGGATACAATCTAAATTATTATTTTGGACACTATCTAAATTACTTTTTTGGACATAAACATAAGAGAGAAATCATATTTACAGAATTTTATAGAATGTGCTTCTAACAGAGCCCTGCTCCAACCAGAGCTGAATGACAAACCATCACGTGATAATCGCCAACTTGGCGAAAAAAGAACAAGTCTAATATTTTTTCAATGAAATATTCCTAGATAGATTTTACATCATTTTTACTCCATTATACACGTAATTTTTAGTAAAAATACTTTCTTAAACAAACAAAATAGATACTCTATAGATAATTATCTTTCTAAAAGAGAAAAAAAATGTGTATGGGGTGGAGTCAACGGACATCTCGCTTTTTTGTAGACGGGGAACTCTACAACCGTTTCCATATATTTTGGATATGGATGGGTGTTTTCTATACTAGAGAACGCTGCAAGCTCGGTACCGACTAAATTTCCGGGTTACTGTTTCCGTTGTATTTTAATGCCATTTGGCATTGTTGTGTTTTGAGATTCTTGCAAACAATGTCTTTGATTACTTATTACTTGTGTTTACAATGCTAACAATACTTGTGTTTACAATGCTAAAAGCACAGCTTGCAACAAGAACAAACAGTAATAAACTTATGGAAAGAGGCCAAATCAAGACTGCCAAAAAAGCGAGTTACTCAAAATCTAGCAACCATGTCATTTTTTTTAATAATGGATGGTGTTTTCAATAGAAATGTAAACAATAACAATCTCGAGCTCGGGACCTACTCTAGTTCCGGTTGAAAAGTTTGCAGCTGCTTACTACATGTTATTCTGATAGGCGATGTTTTCAAACGGATAATTTTGTTTTCAATAAAAGAAATAAATTAGATAATTTCTGAGCTCAAATCTGCCGTCTTTCTTAAGATATTAATGTTATTATGTAATTCTGGGGAGTTTGGAGTGAAAATGTGTTTTAGTTATTTTGTTATTTATTATTAAAAAAGGTGACATGGCTGCTAGAGTTTGAATAACTCGCTTTTTTGACAGTCTTGATTTGGCCTCTTTCCATTTGTCTATTACTGTTTGTTCGTGTTGCAAGCTGTGCACCATCTTACGTTTCTGTTAACACTTTTAGTATTGCAAACACAAGTATTGTTAGCATTGTAAACATAAGTAATAAGTAATCAAATACAATGTTTGCAAGAATCTCAAAACACAAAGATGTCAAATGACTTTAAAATACAACTGAAGCAGTAACCCGGAAATTTAGGCAGTCCCGAGCTTGCAGTAAAAAACACCATCCTAGTGTAAACGAGCCTAGTGTAAAAAACACCATCCATAAATAACAAAATAACTAGAACAAATTTTCACTCCTAACTCCCCAAAATTACATAATAACATTAATATCTTATGAAATACGGCAAATTTGAGCTCAGAAATTATCTAATTTATTTCTTTTATTGAAAACAAAATTAACCGTTTGAAAACATCGCCTATCAGAATAACGTGTAGTAAGCAGCTGCAAACTTTTTAACCGGAACTAGAGTAGGTGCCGAGCTCGAGATTGTTATTGTTTACATTTCTACTGAAAACACCATCCATAATAGCTTTCGTACTACAAAACAGTCAATATTTTTATGTGTTTCTTTCAGTTAATTTAAGAAAGTTGTTGTTTTTTACTAAAAGTATATGACAAAAACGCCAAAGGTTATGCACCAATTACTTCACCAACAGAAATACTTATTTTGCATAAATTATTTACCTAAATTTTAAAACGCTAAATTTTGAAACAAAATTTTAAATTTTTGAACCGACTATTATCCAAACTTCTTTTCATATCTCGAGTTATTTACTTAAGCCAAGATCTAGTTTTTCCAAATAAGAATTTAAAAAATAAACAATTTCATTTCAAACGTCGCAATAAAGCATTTTTAGCTATAACAGTATCCTGATTGTGCAAAAATTTATGAATACAAAAAAATAAGTAAATAAAATAAAATCATGGCTAAAGAACTTGTTAGAACCAAAACTCCAATTACAGCCATAGGTGGACATGTTTTACACCCAGAAAAGCATAACTTAGCTTTTGGGCGCTGGGCAATGCCAGTCATGGTAATTATCTTTCATTTTCATTCTAAACACATATTTTTTAATTTCGTTTATTATGTTCTTTTAGAATTTAACATAAGCTAATGAATAATAAATAAATGAATTTCAGACCATATTTTAATCTAACTTTATGGTAACTTTTTTCGGTGATTTTATTGACAACTTATTTGTTTGTTGCCAAAATAATCAGTTTTGATGTTAAATTACCTAAAGCAAATCAATTTTTCTTGAAAAATTTTTGAGAATTCATTTTTCTTGAAACGGGCATTTTCAAAACGATCAAGTGTTCAGCACTCTCATAGTCAACCAGTTATATATATTCAAATTCAGACTATTCACAATAGTAGCCAATATCCAACTTCAATATTCATAATTGTTTATGTGAGGGTGAGCTTATTAACCATTGCAGTTTATTTGAGACATTGAAGAAAGAATGATTTCAAACAAATATGAGCGTTTGATTTGAGCGTTGCTCACTCAAGAGTATATTTCTAACCAGCCAACGCGGAAGTTCAAGCTCTCCAAACTAATTAAAATCGCATTGAAATATAAATTATCCCGGCAAACGTTTTTAAAAAAATTTCCAGCTCTTAAAAGTATCACAGCATGCCTATCGGGTCTTTCAGGTATATTTTCAAATTATTTAATTATCGGGGTGGTCCACATTTTAAAATAATTTCATATTTTTTAAAGTATGCATTTCACTATCTCTTCAAATAATTGAGAAAAATCTTTGGGTTTTAGCCGAAGAAGTTGGCAGTTTTGATACTTTTTAACAAAAGAGGTATAGAAAAGTTTTAATAAATTTTGACTGAGATCGGCGATGATAACCGTAGAATAGAATCATTATTAAACCAAACTCATTTTCGATTATGTCACCGATTTGGATTGTTAATAAATACTTGATAGTTGCTAAGAAGGAGAAAATTATTTCTTTGCAGGCTCGAAAAATGCAAGATCCAGATCCTATAGAGAAAAGAAAAGCTATACAATCGCTATGCGATTTCGTCTTTGACCCAAAAAGAGTCGCATCAAAAGAGTTTTTAAGTATTTATTAAATTATCACTATTTTTATTATATTGTTGCTGTAGACATTTAGAAATGCGGGACGGTTTTAATGAAAATAATCTCATAAGGAACCCTTAGCTGTTCAGCTAGGCTTCTCCTACATAGCCTTTTTTCCTGTAGCTGTTGTTTCTAATTCCCAAGAGATCTAACTCAATTAATTAAACAATTCTTAAAGTCGATAAACTCCCAGAAAATCTAAAAGTAGTAGAGATTTTTCGAAAAACCTTGTCCAACTAAAAATAAATACAGTTTGCAATATTGTCGGGCGATGCTTGAGCTGTCCTACACTTGTGCAAACACGAAACTACTAAATGTACTGCTCGTACTAAAAGTCCTTCCTGTACAGTGAAAAACACTGAGAGTGGTATGCAAGTCTGCTGGGTTTTAAGTCTAAAAAAGCAAGGCACTCCCAGGGCGTTTTCTAGAAAGCGTTATAAGAGTTCAATCATGGTACTCTAGAAAATGTTTTTTTCCTACCTAACACGAGGAAATGATCAAGTGAATTTAAAGATTCAATGATACACTGTTAGATATAATAATGCTGAAGCATTTTAAAACATAACATCGTTTAAATTTTCTACAACCATAACATGGAAAGCCGAATTGAACCACATTATCGGAATTATAAACTTGATTATATTATACGATATCGAACTAAAGTGAAAGGATCGACTATGGTTCAACATGAACAAAAATACAGTTCAGTTTAACGCCTCATTAAAGTTAAAAGTCAATGGAACAAAGTATTTACACATTATAAGGGCCCTTATGTAGAAAAAGGAGTATTTTTGATTTGCACTCATTTGTACATGCGTTAAAGATAGGACAAGTAAGAAATTTTCAATATCATAACAATCAGGGATTAAAAGTTCTACCGTTTAGTACCTTCCTCTTAATAAAAAGTAAGAACTTTTTAAAATGGAGAAACTTGAACGAATATCTTAAAATAAATACTTTGTAGGAGCTTTATACTTGCCACTATTTTTAGACTCATGCGCATTTTTGCAATTAATGTTGCGACAATAGACCTATACCCTTCAACATTTGGGGTTTTTGCGAAATAATTTTTCAAGACATAGGGATCTAAAATAGAAAATTTGAAAACAAACTAAATTTTTATAAGCCTTCTAACAAAACTTAAAATCACAATTTGTCAATCTATCCTTTTCAGTGTCCTAGGAGATATAGCATTCGCCTCCCAATGAGGTGCCGCAAGTTTGAATTCCAGCGGTGGTTGGTTGATACGAATTCTTATCCCGGCTAACAGTGACCACATCTTACATAAAATATCCACAGTGGTATGCAGATCAAGGGGTAAGAATCCTTTTGCCATCGGGCTGACCATGAGATACTTTGAGATGCCATGAGATGAGACCAGGGCCCGATTAACCTCTGAAAATAGGGGAAGCATAATAGGATTTTGGGGCCCCCCTAACTTGAGCAAAAGAAATTTTTGATATTTTTCGCCCATAAACAATAAATTTTAAAGAGACAAGAACCATGTGAAAACTATTAGAACCTTAGAAAGGAATACAGAGATCTTATGCAATCATGTTGGACCCTTCTTTACGTGCTTTATGGTAACAAAAACATGTTAACGAAATTTAAATATTTTAATAAATTAAATTATAAAATTACTTGTTGTTATACGAAAGGTTCTTTGCAAGATTAGTCTCTTATTTTACGCCAATTCGTTTACTAGCGGCAGAACAACACAAAATTCTAATTCAGCATAAATTATTGTTACTGCACCAGAAAAATCATACCAAATAATTTTCAAACATGAAACAAAAATATTTTTCGTACTGATAGATATTTAAAAGTCTTGTGAGTTTAGTTCAACAATAAAAAGCAGAGTAAAATTAATTTGAGCCCACATGATAGAGAAAAAAGATTTTAAAAAAAATAAGAAAATTCATAGGTTTATTACCATTACATTTGTTTTTTTCTCGCTGTTAAATTCGCAAAATCTTCAATAATAATATCTGCAAATTGTAACCTAATTGTAATATCTCTCTCTATTGCCCAAAAGGGCTAAACTACTTAATTTATTATTTGAAAGAGTTGATCTCCACCGATTTTTTATTCTTTTCAATACAGAAAATGAACGTTCACTAGTGCAGTTATAAGTCACTAGTGCATTTTCAAAAATAAGAAATTGGGCCCTTAATTTCAGTCGTTTGGGGGCCCCCCTAGAATTTTACAGGGGAAGCACTTGCTTCCTGTGCCTTTTCGGTAATCAGGCCCTGGATGAGACCATGAGAGACAAATATAGATTAGTTCCATTAAAAAATTCTCCAGGCTAGTTTGTCCCAATGCTTGATCCAAGAGTTTCCTTGTCTTCTGGGAGGGATTCAAAATTGCAAAGGAGTTGAACATTGATAGTCGTGAACTCAGAATTGGATTGGCTGTTCAACGACGGGTATAAAATAAAACCTAACATTTGATACACTTGTTTAAATTTTTCATGCGTAGTGGTGCACAAAATTCTTTTAATTCTAATTTATTAAAATGTAAACGCATTGACTTTGCTATCACTAGGAAAAATGTTTTTTGAAAACTGCTGACATTCCACTGTAACTAGAGGATTTGGTTGTGAGTTGATTCTTTTTTTCTTTGCGCTTTCTTAGAATAAAAAAATCAATGGTTTACGGTGGCCACTTGTGACCTACATAATGTGTGACTAAAGAATGCATATGTATACCACCCCTCATTTTTTTTCTCTTCTTAATGGTAAAAATGAATAAAATTGGGAAAATATATTTACACTGTAGCTTTGTCAGATGCAACACATATTTTCAAGAAGTTGTTGCTAACTAATTCTTGAATTCCAATATAAGGTTTTAGGTTCTATATTAACTTAATTACAATTGACTAGACAGTAAAGATATGCATTTTCACAATGAATATGCCAAAATGGTGTAATTCTACCCAATCTTCCTTGTTATAGGCGTTGTTCCTTATTTGAGAAAATCGAGTGAAGATAACGATGTAAAAGTTAGGGAAGTGACCGCTCGATGTTTTGCTACAGTAGCTGGTAAGTTTTGTAAATTAAAATTGAAATCGGGAGAAGATGAATTAGGGTAATAAAAAGTAAACAAGACATAAAATCACATAATGGTTTTATGCAAACAATTCACGAATGACTTTTGCTAAAAATAATAAAAAACGTTTTGACGCAGAATTTTTATTAAACATATTTTCATACTTTTTTCATTATTTTGTATTAATTTAAGCCAAAATAAGAGAAAAATATTAAATTTAGTATTTCAATAATTCATAGTTATGAAAAACAGCATGAAACACCGGTGTCCTTTTCTGCATTAAAGATAAAATCTTCCAAACAATAATTTTTCAAATTTGCACTTATTTGCAAATATTTAGATAAGATATAGTTTTTCATGATTGAAATTTTTTTAACTTACAAAATCAATTATTGATACATTTTTGAATACGAATGAAAAAAAAAATTTCTATCTCATTTATTTGGATTTTATATTTTAGTAAAAATATGATTCAGATAATTTAGCAGATTTTTTTAGTAACCATGAGACTGCATTTTATAATTATAAAACAGCGAAATATATTTTCGCTTGTAATTAGAATGTCAGAAAAAAAAATGTTTATACAAGGGGCACCGGTGTACCTTCTGCGTCAAAGGGATAAATAAATTCCATCATTAAAATTAATTGAATTTATTTCAGCTACAGCAGCTGGTCGTAGAACTTTTGGGAAGCAGGATTTTTATAAAGAAGTTTTACGTTTGATTGTTGACGATGAAAAAACTGTTCGACATGCTGCTAATGTTGTACTGCAGAGACTGACGTTATCGCCAATGGGTAATTTTCAACATTTATTTTAAAAGCGCATAAAAATGAATCCGCCTTTTGATAAATACGCTTTGGAAGTATAAAAAAAAAGAAGTTTATTTTTGTGTTTTGAATATATTCAATCACTAAAATATTACCTTATCAATTCAAAAGCTTCTAAACCACTCAAAAAAGTTGATTATGGTCGGATTAGGTAGGGGGTGTAGCTTCAGAGTCTGCAGCCCTATATTTTTAGGGCCCCGACAGAGACTAAAAAATTTAAAGTATTAAAACTGCTTTTTGTCATTTATTTATAATTGCATACATTTTGGGAGTGAATTTCCAAAATCACAGACAAAATGAAGTTAGGTGCAGGTCATTTTAATGCGTCGTTCAATGATGACGTGAAAGATACATTATATTAGGTAAATCTAATTTTATCGATATTCATCTTAATTATAAATGATGTTTAGTCGTGGAGTTACGAAGAATTTTCAGGGGGTGTTGATTGGTTCATTATAGTGTATACATTTCCAAAGTGTTTCAATAAAAACTTAAAAAATAATTTGTAATTACTCTTTATTTGAATTCCAGCTGCCGAAGAATTAGTTAGATCAGATGCTATACCAATTCTTCTCAACCAAGTGCCGCAAGAAGAAGATGATACTCTGGTAAATAAATTTTTAAATTCTAGGTAACCGTTAGCTTTGGGCTTATTTACATAGTGTTTTCTAAGAAAACCACATTTCCAGATGTATGCTAGAGATGACACAGCCAGAGCCCTGAGTACCGCGCATAGGCTCGTTGGCTGAAAGAAGTTTTTAGAATGAAAATTTTATAAAAATTTCATAATTTTTTTTTACGACTTTCAAAATAAAATACATAAAAATCTATGTATAAGTATAAAAAATAATAAAATAACTGACCATGTAAAAAATAAGGAAATATAAAACGTTGTGGGGGGCGGAGTTATCGATCATGCCAACCGTCATCTATCAAAAGGTACCTCGTGATAGAATCAAGTTAGCATGCTTTATATACTAGTGAATGATGTTAAACTTTTGTAGTGGTAGTTACACCACAACGTCATTTTCCGAAAGCAGGTATTTTCAACATCTAATAAGGAAATAAATACTCTCAATAATTAAATATCAAATAGAAAAACTAGTTCTCTAAACCCCCAACTTTAGCCATAAATCGTTTAAAAATTTTAGCCTTTATCTGATTTGTTAAATTTTGGGCGCAGGTAAGCTTAGGTCCCCCCCCAAAAAGTCTTTAGATTTGGACATTTAAAAGTAATTCCAAGCTCATTTCTAATGTAAATATACATAATGAGATATAATATACATAATGAGGTATAATATACATAATCATATTCGAATGTAATATACATGAGGAGAAGGTCTATCCAAGATCTTTATCTTTGTTAAATTTTCAGTTTTGTTTACATATATCTCTAGTAGTGCATTTTGTATTGGTAATCAAAGCCTCCACCCTTGTAAGATATTATATATATGACTTCGCGAAAATTTGGTAAGTGCATGAAATAACAGATCATTGATGCTCACACTCGGAAAATTAGTTATTTTCGCAAACAGTTATTAAATATAATGTAACAGTTCTTAATTAGTAAAAATACAGTTAGTAGTAAATTATAAACTGATGATTTTCGAAAATTTATTACAGAAAACCGTTCAGGTTAGAAAAAATTATTTTTGCCGAAAATTAATGTGGAATTACATAAATATTTTTCCTTTAGTTCCTAGTTTTAGTTTCAAACAGTTTTCGGCAGATGGTGCTAAGAATTTCTTCTTCTTCTTTTTTTTTTTTTTTTAAGTTGTGTCACCCGCCGGCGGAAAGATTTCAATATATATATATTTTTTAATTAATATTTCTTGATTCAGAATGCTGTCTATCGCCATATTTCTAAATTTTCTCTGGAAGAAACAAATTTAAGCTCCGTCACATTTCATGCCAATTATTTTTCAACCTTAACCGTTTTTCAGTTAAAACTTTTGACGACTTTTAAGCTTTTATACTCGCAATTGCTGTGTTAGCAACTTTTTTAATTGGCCCTTAACATTAAGGAACTTTACTGTACTGAGTTATTATTGATTACTGTTAAGTAGAGTTTTGAAGGTTTGTGAATAATGATAATAATATTATTATCATTATTATAAAAATAGAGAGTTATTTTTATAATGCAAAAGCAAACATTTATGCAATTCGCATAATTTTCAGTTTTATTTTAAAATTATTTTGTTTTGTTAATCTTGACATCTGAACAAGTTTTTTTCTTATACTTTTAAAGGAGCTTCTATTGCAAACCATCTATGTTTGCTGTCTTGTGGATCCCGATAAAGTGCTTCTTGCAGGAGGCTTGGAATCAATCATACCTTGGTTAAAGTCTTCTAATTCTCGAATCAAGGAAAGAACAGCAATGATAATCAAGGAATTAACGTAATTCTTTTTGTACATGTATCTCTAAATTGTGATTAAATGTTCACGCTTAACTTTTTAAATTGAGTTTTAATGTTAATTAAAACTCAATTTAAAAAGTTATAGTTAAGTTAAAAGTTCAACAAATTAACCTGCCAACGGTAAATTTGTAAAAAGTATTAAATTAACAGTAATTAAACAAATTAACATGCTTTTTTTAAGCAAATATTACAAACATAACTTTTAGATTACTTTTAAAAAAATTAAATCATTGCTGACAAACGCTTTGTCATTTTGAAACAATTAAAAATAATTGAGTAATTAAAATATTTATTTTCAACACTTTAAAAAACAACACGCGTATATTGTTAGAATATGAATAATCAATAATATGTATATATATAAAAATTTATCTATGATTCTAGTGTAGATGCCAAGGGAAGAAATAAAGCTCTTGATTTAGGTGTTCTTCCTCTTTTATTAAATTTACTTGATGGCAATGACGAAAAGATTCAAGCAAAAGCCTTATCCGCTCTTATGATGTAAGTATGTCGTTATTTTTCAAATAAAAAATAATTTCTCTCAGGAATATAACTTTACTAACCTCCTTTGCCTACCAGCTTGGTCACATTCAAAAATTATATTGTACAACATTTACACTTTAATGGTACCCAAACCGAATGCACAGAACAACTAAACATTCTAATTCTCTAACCCCTTCTCCAATCCTAACACCTTAATTTGTTTTAAACAATAAATTTAACAAATTTTTCCACTGTTTGATGCTCATTCGGAAATACTTTCATTTCAATTTTAACTATTTTCAAGAAATGTCCGCATTGTTGTCAAAGTTCTTAATGTATTGAATTTTAATAATAACTTAAAATCTACCTGTCAGCCATAAAATCACACAAACCACAGAAAATATGAGTTCGGGTATTCCAGCAATCTGCATAAATATGAAAACTAGAAGCAGTAGAAGTATTAAAACTATTTCCATCTCTGTCATGCGATAAGATGCAAAACTCACCCAAACGCTTCATTACGTGCTGTTCTACTTCCTAATGCACCTCTCGAGCTATTAACTTGAGTATTGTATAATATAATGTTCGGAAAAGGCAAGCTCCGTCACGAATAATTCGTATGACAGTACGCGGCCAACACCTTCTAGACTTCAGAAAGAAGGTCTCAGTACGGGTTACCATAAACAAGAAATTCGGTCCCTTAGTTAGTCCAAACGAAATGACATCTTTCGCATTCTCCCACGCTGCACAGCTTAGTAGCCCGGACGTAGTGGCATCTTTCTTTTAACCTCCACTGCGCAGTTTATGTTCGTTACGTCAGACTACTTAATCGATCCGTGATGAGGCCTTCTCTTATCTAGGAAGTGTTGATGCGGCCCCATAGAAATGTTTGTTTAAAATTTTTATATCCATTTTACAAATGATCAAAAATAAATCCAAATAATTACTTCTTAACTAAGTTTTTATTTCTATAAAAATACAAAATTAGTCTAAATAAATACTTAACGCATAATTAACTATTAAACACTGCATTAACAATCACTTGAGACAACCTAACGAAATGAATCTAAATAAATACCAAACGTACCATTAATTTTTAACCTAACGAAATAAACAATAACAATAGTGTTGTCAATAAATAGATAAATAACCGACTTTATGGTGCCTCATAATACAGTCTAGTCAGAAATTCTAGAAAAAAAATTTTATTTTTATTTTTATAGGATAGCAATCGCTACCCCAGCGAAGTTCTTGTCTCTGAATAAAGGTGCTATAGCAAAACTTTTGCCATTCTTAAAAGTTCGAAATGCAGAAATACGTCTGAATACTATAAAGGTAAAAGTCTTTTTAAGTTCCTCAACTTAAAATGCATTTTACACCATCCGTCAATGCTTAATTCTTCAAGTATTTTGGCAATGAGATATGCTTTAGAGCTTTGAATAAAATTATTTTTTTTTAAAAATGCATGATATAATGGAAAAATTTATTTATTAATATACTTTCAGATTAAGAAAGAATAATACTTAAACAATATTTAATAGAAATATTTAGTCGTTTACAGCTGAATTTCGGATACCCCTTGTAAAGTATTCTTATAGAAATTTTGCACATTTATTCTTAATAGAATTGATTAGATTTGAATGACAGATTTAAAACCAAAAATTGGGAAAATCCGATTCTGGTAAAATTTAAACATTGTTTTGTAAATAAAGTTTCATAAAAAGAATACTTTGTACAATATGTAGATAATTTTATCTAAATGTGTGCATTATTTATTGAAAAATCGTGTCACCCACTTCAAAATGAGTTTTAATAAAAAAATGTATTTTTGCGCCCCTACTTGAGTTTCTGGCTGGTAGCGAAATGGACAACTAGACGTCTTCTCATTTTGTGAAGTAGTAAAATTAACTTTTAACGTAAATATTCGCCACAACTTTGTCATAAATCTAAAGAAATATCGGTTTTGAAGCACGTTTCTTCTTCTCACACCAAGGAACAAGCAGAGATGGTTACATGAAATCACTGGCTGAACCTCTTTCCTAGTTTCTAAATCAACAAAATTTGAACCAAAATCAATTATGCGTCGTTTAAAGTGAAAATGTAGCTAATTCAAACTACGTTTAGTCTTATTTTTGTTTAATTAATTCTAGTCAAGCCTAATGGAAATAGTTTCCAAAGGCTCTCTCTTCTTGAAAGACGAGTATTATTAAGTATTTTTCCTTGAAGTCCATGCAATACCTTAACGTAAAACAATAATTTTTATATTTTAAGGCAAGGTTTTCGTATTATCAAATTTAATGTGTAGAAAAATTTAGTACAATGGTTTAATATAAAAGGAAGATAAATTTTCATTTCAAATTAAATAAAATTTTGTATTTCATTCAAAATAGGCACTCATATGTACTAACAATTGTAGATATGTCTATTTTCGCTTTTCTTATTTACTAAAGGATAATTTTCACAGCATATTTCAATAAACCACACAACGACCGATTAACATTTAATATATTATTACTCAGTCAAGTAGAGTTGAAGAGCGAAATGTATAACAAACGAAAGAATTGTCAATGGAAGTAGTACATTCTGTAAGCATCACAAATTACTCCGAAACAGGTACTCCGCTTTTCCTTACAGATTTATAGAGAAAGTAAATTATAAGTTTCATATTTACGCTTTCTTTCCTCAATAGGTGTTAACAGCCTTAAGTGAAGCTCCCCCTGGAAGAAAGATATTGCTTGATCGCCTCCCAATGGTATGTTAACCATTTAAGGCTATTTCATGTGCTTAATTTTTTATTTATTTTAAAGACACGGTGGTGAAACAATATTTTAAGTTATTTGGTGATTATGATAATTTTCCACACATTTTTATAACTGAGGACATGGCATTTCCAAAACATCTTCACCCAGTATCTTAAAAAAACAACAAACCGGAAGTATTGCAGCCCCCCCGTGACGCCGTAGTAGCTCAGATTAGTGCAAATCACTACATTCATATTCTATTATATGTACTGCCATCTGCTGATAATAGAGAGAACCCATGTGAGGAATAAGTTTTCATTTTGCAAACTTCTATTAGGAAGGTATAATATACAGTCATTCATTATTGTGATTGACTAGCAAGTACAGTCTTCTATGTCAGATTGTTTCAATCCCATTTAACTGCAGAGTTATTTTAACATTTCAGAATGAGTTGGTTACTCTTTTTTGCCACTTGGAAAGTGTATACACAAATGATCTAATACAAGATTAGAATAGATATGCGAAATTAATTTATTAACAATTTAATAAAGATGTTGTTGTTAATTTGCGTCGCACTAGAGCTGCACAATGGGCTATTGGCGACGGTCTGGGAAACATCCCGGAGGATTTAATAAAGATGATAGGTCCCTATCTTATGGTGAATCGATCAAGATAGATTCAGACACCCAAGCACTGTTAAAAGTTTGAAAACTTTATGAACTGCAATGGATATATTAACATTAGATTGTAAGCATTCTAGTTTGTAACTGAATAAGTTCCTAAGTTAATTTAATTATAGTACTAATTGTATAGAAGAGAACATGATTTTCAGAAAGAACATTAATTTAACATGGAATCACATAAATAACTAGAAGCTCATTAACAGGCACAAATTTGATCATCCCCAAGATGGTCTAGCACTCCAATAGTAGTAAAATTATTCTTAGATAGTTAGAAAAGTTCCATCGATAGACGTATCCAATGTGATTGTCTACTTACTTTACAAACTAAATTATTACTTCAGCTTACAATTAGGACCCTAGTTTATACCCTGTTGGGTGTTTGCGCAGTTAGTCGAATGCAGCAACCACGCATATTTGCGTGTTTTTTAAGTCAATCATACTTTATAATTATTGAATCTAAGGTGTCTTATGCGAACTAGCCATCTATATAAACAGACAGGTTGCATGTGTTTTGTTGCTAATGCCAAAACTGACTTGTTAATGTTTATCAGTTTGTGATTTGCTCATGAACATCGTCATTATTTCGTTAATGAGTTGTTTTAAATGCTAAGCATGTTTTTTCTCTCTCCATAGACTTAATGCAATCAGCCTTCGAGCGCGTATGCTAACTATATCCGATAGTCGTAATAAAGTACTTTCAATCATTCTCCCAAGATGAGGGGTTTCCATACGAGAGTCTTTTAAGTGTATACATTTATAAGTTTAGATAGTGAGCCTGATTCATTGGTAAGTCACCAGCTTTAGCTAATTATGCCCTTCTCCTGAAATGTCACATTTTAATTATTATTTCATCAATCAGAAATGTATTATAAATACGAAAATTCAAGAGTAGATGACAGTAGGTCAACTTTGCTTATTATTTTATTGAAATAACCAGTCGACTTCAAACTGTACTAAAATAATGTGTTTTCAATCTAAATAAAAGTTACACTAAAGCAATTTTAAAAACAGAGCGCAGTAAAATAATAGTTTTCAGATATAATTAGTTAAATGTTATTTTCTTGCAGCTTACACCACTTCTCAATGATAATGTGAAAGAAATTCAAGATGCAGCAAAAAGAATGATAAGTGTTGTAACCTTTAAACCTTAAAAATTAGCACAATATTCTATTTCATTGACTTGGAGCATTAACTATTGTATAACCAATGTCATTAAAACATTTTTCTTTCAAAATGTTGGAGCTGGTGTATTTTACTTCATGAACTTTTATCTGAACTTTGAATCTTAAGAAAATATTGCTATACAATATTATTGTGAAACAGAAAATTTTTGATATCAGTACAGTGCTTAATCATTACTTATTAATTAATCAGTGTAAAATTAAAAAACTTTCTAAAAGAGTAAATAAAAATTTGAAATCTTTAAATCTATTTTTATAAGAAAATAAATATCTTAAAAAAATCAATATAATAGTCAAAATCTTGTAGTTTAGTTGTAACACACTAAATAATAAGTTGTCTTGTAAACAACTTATACTGTAATTTAAAAAACTGTTTTAAAATCAGATATCGTCCTTTCCCCCCCCTTTTGTTTTGAAACTATTTTCTAGTAATTATTTCCTTTTTCTACCGAATTAAAACAATTTTGAAGAATATAACTAAAACTGTGGTGCAAACAGAGTAGAGCCATAACTCTTTTCTAAAATACTTTGTTTAATACAAATAAGTATTTTATCTGCTAGAGCACCAATATACTACATAAAGGTAAATAAAATTCATCTCCCAAATTTATCTACATATTAAATTATTTAAATCACCTTGACCCCAAACAATTTGAAAAAAAAAATTAATAGAAGTATGGAGTACAGAACTGTTATAGCTAGGTAAGAAATAAATATAGGGATTCATAAAAATTAGCTCAAATATTTTTATTATGATTTCATATAACAGAAAAAGACAATAATTTGAAAAAAATATAGCTAAACTCCATCAAACTTTATTACATGCTCCTATATCACATAAATACATTTTTTTTTCTCAGTGAGAAACCTTGGTGCTGACAGAGGATTTTCCAAGGAGGGAAAAAAAGAAAATGAACATTTAATTCCCAGAAATCCAGAAGACAAAGATGAAGGAAAAAAGAGTCTAATAATTTTTTTTTGTGTACATATATATATATATATTTGTTTATATAATTATTTGTATATATTAGAGCAAATTTATAAGGGAAAATGAACTATCGCACTAATGTTTAACAAGCGTTTTTGTAAATAATGACATTTTCCAAAATCTTCACCAGTTTCAAGTAGTCTTTTTGAGAGTTTGCGGGCCCTCATATTTCTGAAAATAAGAAATAAGTTGCAATAAGTCTAAATGGAAAATTTAAAAAAATAATGATAAAAATCAAAAATAAATAGAAGAATCTGAAAACAAAAATATTAATCACAGGATACTCTTGGGGGCTATAAATGTAGCTAGAAAAGTAATTTATATTACATAAAAAGGAACTAAGTTTTGTTTTCAAGGAGATTTTTTTTAAGAATATTTATTTATTTTATTCAGATTAATTTAATAGTCATTTAGTTTAGTATTATTCAGAAAAGCATTTCTCAAAAGGTATTCTGCAGAACGCTAGAGTTCCATGGAAGTATCACAGGGGTTCAGAGAGTTAGGATTTTTTGACCAGCAATAACTATATTAATTTCTCATTAATTATCTTTAATTCATTTCATATTTTGTTTGAACACATAAAATTATTTATGTAATACAAATGAAAAAAATGTAGCAAAATTCATTTAAAAAAATATTTTTTAATGATAATATATTGCATAACTTATACTGTATTATATTTCATGAATATTGACAAATAAGTAAGACATAAGATAGTTATGATGGGTTCAAAAAAATGTTTTTCAGAAAAAAAAATGTAACGATGCATAATTTAAAAAAATTTACTATAATGCATACAAGATATTAAATACATACAAAGAAAAATAAATTGATATTTTTTTGGTGGTTTTAAGCATACCTTTTTTAAAAATATGAGGAAGATAAAATTTTAAAATGTTTATGAACTTAATTTCAAATGATACGTAACATTAAGTAACATAATTTACATAAGTCGAGAAGGGCACTAAAAAGTATTGAAACTTAAATCTTGAACTGCAGATGATGAAATATTTATAATAATGTTTAATACACTATATGCAGCAATGTAATCATCTCACACTTTGTAGAAATCATACTATAACACAATGATATAAAAACTTAATTTTGCAATGTAATTTTTATGATACTAAGGATTGAGCAAAACAATGAGAAAAATAGAATCAATTTACTAGTAGAAGGACTTACCTTTCTAGTTACCAAATTAAGAAGATTGTTATTGAAAATAATCATAAATTCAAAAAAATTAAGGAAAAAAAAAAAAAAAAAAAAAAAAAAAAAAAAAAAAAAAAAAAAAAAAAAAAAAAAAAAAAACACGACTAAAATTTTTGACAAAATTAATGAATAAAACTTTATTGATATCATGCAATAATATTGACTGAAATTAAATTAACTTTTGTGACATTTATAAACATTAACTAATGATGATAAAGGAAAACACTGTGAAAGGGATTAAAAAAAGTAAGCTAACTCACTCTGATTAACTTGCATGTGCTGGAAGGGGGTGTTGACTGGGGACCTATTAGGTGCAACAAAACCAGGAGGAGGGCACTGAGCTGTTGGCCATTGGCCTGTATAATAAAATAAATCCATGCATTCATAACAACATTCTATTATTACCAATGGAATTAAAAAATAAATAAATAAAATGAAATAAGAGTATGCATAAATAATTCAGAATGCATTCTGCTAGGTAATCTAAAAAGGTGAAGAGGGAAAAAAAACTATGAGCAAATATTCAGAAAAGTGATTAGTAAGACAATTTAATTGGATACTGGATTCTAATGACGAATTACACATTATGAAATAATCCCTTTTTAGTGTACATTATAGTTAACTGTGACTTTCATATTTTTGTTTCATAACACAATGTTTTCCTTTTTTTTTTCTTGTCCAAAAATTGTGAACTCTTGAAATATTCAGATATTCAAATATTGTAGAAGTTGCATTTTAAGTTATTATACAAATAACCCCCGTGGCAGAAACACGGCAACACAGCGACATTGTCGCAGAAAGCGACTGAATTCTTGCAGAGAGATTTTTTTTATTTGGGAAATAAAAAATTTTAGTTTGCCACAAACTAAAGTTCTCAAAAAAGATTCTGCAGAAACAGAAGCTGTTTTAAAAAAAAAAAAAAAAAAAAAAAAAAACAAAAAAAAAACATTTCTACAGAAGCAATAATGGTTCTGCAAAATTTTTTTCCTACAGAATTGTTTTAAATATTTTTTTCTAGCGTACCGTTGAAGGAGAAAGCGCTCGTAATTTTCCGTTAATCTCCAACACAAACAGTTACTGGATAAAAAGGGGAGAATTTTTTCCCCTTCTGTTCTTATGAGAACAGAGCATTTTATATTTTTTGAACATATGTGGAAAATTTCATGCGTAAAAAGATTCTTTATTTAAAAAAATCATGTCTAGCGAAAAGGTTATTTGTTGCAATTGTGAAGCTACAACAATTAAAACAAATTTGAAAACTGATTTTTCAAGGTGGCATTCCGAAGAAGAAATAAGATGGAAGTCGACAACATCTAGCGATGCCAGAGATTTTTTTTCTGGAAAGCGACAGGAAAAGAAGCTTCCCACGCTACTAATATTGAAAAAATAAATAAATTAACGTTCTAGATTCGAATTAAATATTCTTACTAGTAGCGATATCGATAGTAAGGATGAGACAACATTTCCAACAAATCAAGAAATTTTAGAAGCAGTCAAAGGTAAAAAGTAAAAAATAACTATATATATATATATATTTGAAGGTAAAATGCCTATATCCTTTGAATTAAGTCGTCGATTTAAAAAAAAAAAAAAAAAAAAAATAAAATCATTTNGATAAATGAAATAAAGCCTGAAAGATATCTCACTATCTACGATTTTTTGGCATGCGAATGAAAACCAGATTGGTGGAAAATATTTACTGGTGAAACACTTTCAAACAGGTTTCCATACGCATGCGAAAAAAATCGCATCCAATGAGTATTGCTCTAATACCGATGTTTCAGTACTGATAAAGACTATTTCGTTTCGAGATGTTGAGTAGACTTGAGCATATTGAGTCGGAAACAGCTTCTGCATACTTCGTGTGAAATCAATGCTATATATTTACACAATACAGTGCGAAATCACAAGCGCTGTGTATTTTTTTGTTCTGAACTTAATCTGATCACGAAAAAAGTTTTATTTACCTCCTTTTTGAAAAAAAAAAAATCTTTCAATAAGTCAGTGCAATATTAATCGAATCTAATTAATCTATACAGTGACCTCTCACTTATGCACCACCTCTTTTATGCATCTTTTTCATTTATATGACAATTTTTATAGGTCCCAGTACATTAGATAGGAAAATAATGATAAACATCCTTCGTTTATGCGTCGCTCTAAAAATAAATTTTTCAATTATGCGTCGAAATTTTAGGCTAACATTTTAATTTTTTAATCCTTTAAATATTTTTTCGTTTAAAAAAAAAACTTTTTTTAAATTAAAAATGAAGCAAATAAGCCATCCTTGTTACAGATAAAAAGAAATATATGTTGTTAGATCCCATTGAATTTGCTTTCCCCTGTGACCTTTTCATTTTTGCTGTTTCTGGAAAGACATTCCTTCTAGAATTTTAAATAGGGTGTCTTATCTGTTACACCAACAATGAAAGCCCATTCATCTTTTAGAAAATGACCATTCCTCTTGTCCAGAGGTTAGTTTTACTCCCATGCTGTTTTCTAGAGAAAAAAAGACACCTGAAATACGAAAGATGAAAGAGACCGCGATCACTTACTTGCAATCAGATGGACATTATGAGTAAATAAAAGGAGGTGATCTGTTTAGTGACAAAAGTATTTGAAGAACTTTTTGTGCAGCATATTATGACGTCAAGTACTTTTCATAGAAATTTATCATGTGATGTTTCATCCCCTCCCATAAAACTCAAATTTGTTGTGAAGAACTGTTAATTTATATCTAACTAATACTTGTGAACGATGAGAACTTGGTAGATGATAGTGACGAGATGATAAAGTTCCTCCAAATCACACAGCAGTATTGAAAGCTTTAGACACTATTCCTGACTATTTACAATTTAATTTTCCTTCTGAAACTCCCCCTTATCCCATTTATATGAACTGGAAAAAACTGTTTTTGAATAACGTCGGCAAAAACAAATACAAACATGTATTAAGATTATTTTGTAAGAAAATAAATTGTCTTAAGGTATGTTAAATTTTTTCTTTGTATAATTATAGTAAATACCAAAACAGTATAAATATTAACATTTAATCTTTAGAAACANTAAAAAAAAATCTTTCAATAAGTCAGTACAATATTAATCGCATCTAATTAATTAGATAAAATTAATTAGATGTAGAAAAAATTGAAACAAACATTGCTTTAATTTTTTTGCTTTTAGAATTCGGTTATAGTCAATACTATTTTATTATTTTGATTACTCAACTTCAATATTAATTTTTTCACCTGATTTGTTTCTGTACCTGATATAACTACTATAGTGAAACATTAAATCATACTGTTTTAAACTGATACTTCAAATTCAGTTATCTTGTTTTATAAATTTAATCTTTTTGTCCATTCTTAGCTATTTCTATAAGTTCTATCTTATTACAGGTTCTGGGTAATCTTTATTTATGCTCTAGTAAGCATTTTTGTCTGCAGATCTATACATTTATAACTTTTCGTTATTATCGAAGATTATGCAAATTTATACTTAAACAATTTAAACTTATTAAGAAATGTAAACTTATATTATGAAATTAAAAAAAAAAATCTACACAGTTTTATTCTATGCATGTAGACTTATTTCATAAACACGAATTTTATCCATTATTATAAATTCATTACACATACATTTATAACGATAAAAATATCTTGCAGAAAGATATTGGTTCTAGTTAGGTTTGTCGCAAAAAGTCAGAAAAAATTCTGCCACAGGGCAAATAACTCATAATGCAATTCGAGAATCTAATTACAGACATAAAGATTCTAGGTTTGATCCAGGCCACCAGAAAATGAACACTTAACTATCTCACTCCTTGACAGAGGGAAACACTACACTATTTTTTCTTGCTTTACAATTTCCCTAGATTTGACAAATAAATAGTCTGGATCTCATATGTTATCTTTCTTACATTCCATTACAATGTGTATTTATAGAATCATTGTCAATAAAATGAAGTAAAAGTATACACATTACAGGAGTAGAAATTAAGTAGCAAGTCGAAGCACCATTTATTAAAAGATATTACTAGTCAGTACACATGTTTTAATCATGTAATGCCATAATCATGTTGAGCTATACTATTTCGTGAAAAAAAAAAACACTATCTAAAAGATTAAACAGAAAAATCAAAGAGTCAAAACTGCATATCATTTTCCTAAATCAATTACTCTTCTTAGACTATTCCGAAGTCCCAACAGAAAGACTAATAATTTTCTGACTTGAGATCAGCACTAGAAGCGAGTTGTAATGATCCATTTCCCCATTGTCATTTCTGCAAAGAGCAAACTTTTCATGGAATCCTTTAAAAAACCTTCTATTCCAGATCTTATCTGTCCTAGAAGCCTATCATCCATGATAGCAAGACTTTGAATACGCCACTTCAAGAGCATGAAGATACTACCCTACCCCATATGCAGACATTGCCCTAAAATCCAATTAACATCAGCACACCATTTTAACTTCCTGGCTATTTGAGCTGCATTGTTTAAACTCTACTAATCACCAGAAGGCAGTAAACTGCAGAAGGCATATACAGTTCCTAGGTGACAGAGTTCTCAAAACTCATCCTTCGAACTTTTGAAAATATTTAGCAATGATATAGACAAGACAATAACAACATTACTTACTAGTCTAGGGTATCACTGATAATTATTTTATGGTGATCTAAGGTAAATTTTAAAGGCTTCAGATCAACAGAGGATTTTAAGCCCTGCATAAGGACCCATAGGGTGATATTTAATAAAAGGAAAAACTATATCAAAACTTAACACTTTACTACTGTGGGAAAACTGAAAACATCTAAACTTGTTTGATTTCAGGAAAAAACAGAGGAGTTGAAATGCTATAAGAAACATCTCTAAGTGTCATCAGGCATCAAACAGGTTTAGATGTTTTTCATCTCACCTTCTTCAGATGAGATTTGACAGATTCTGAGGACATTTTTGCTTCGAACTTAAATATTAATTTGTGAACTCCACAATGTGTATACTTTTTTTTGACAAGGATACTGAAAACATTCTTTGGTAATCAATATTAAAATATCAGAAATTCAATGTATCCAGGTAAGAATGAAAAAGAACAGAAGGTGAGAACTCACCAAGTAATACTAAATATAACCAAATAAAAGAAAGCAGAAAGAAAGCGTTGAAAAAAAAATCTAAAAATAAACACCAACCAGATTGTGTTTTCACAAAAAAAAACAAAAAAAACAATTGATATGTGTATTTTTTGAAATGCAATGTTTTCCTTTAAAACATATTTTGTGTTGCCCTGGAAAAAAAAGTTTTTACGTAAAAACATTAAAAAAGTTGATTTTAAGAACTTTATTGCAGTGAACCAAAGTACCACAATAAACAAGGAAACCTTTGCCAAAAGAAATGTACTCATAATATGAATGTATATGCTTGAAAATTACTCTAAAGATGCAATTTTTTTCCTTTTTCATATAACTAATTTTTTTAAACGGAAAAAAAGGGGTATATCAACCCATAGCATATTAAGAGCTAAGCAAAAATCAGATTAGTATTTTTAATGCACATTAATGGAGTTCAAAATAATAATTATGATAAATAGAAAGTAAGCAATAAAGGGATGATGAAAGAATGATACATAAGCATGCATACTAAAAAGTCTTTCCACACATCTTCTTTACTTCGTTATTCAAAAGAAAAATAACTTACCTTTAAATTGTTAACTCGCAAAGTAATTCGATGGTTAAATTAAAACCAAACAAGAGTCAACAATAGAGAAAGCTACTATATTTATTTATTGAAAAAATTCAAGTTAAGAGAATGGTAAGTTAAAAAGCATGAGGATAAAAAAAAACATTAAAAAATTTATTTAAATAATGGACAATTTTTTCATATTCAAAACATCCAATAGCTTCTTGAAATTAAAATGAAAGCAATTAGGTGTTTTTTTTTTAAATATTTTCTTATTTCATTTAATTTTTGATTATTTTCAGATTAAATTATAAGACTCTTGATTATCAATTAGTCCGTCAGAATATTTGGGTAAAATATGAATAAAAATTCTTTTGCCATATCATGATTCATTACAAAAATTTTAATGGATTCATTGAGTAACAATGTATAATAATAAAATTAAGTTTGTTCGATTGTATGTCTTTTTTATAACTCCAGAAGTTTGTTCGATCATCCTGTAATTTGAGATTGAGTTAGAGTCAAAAGTAACAAATAAGGGGGAAGGGAGCAAAATGTTTGTTTTTATTAAAGCTATTGCCTTTTAAGAACAGAAAAAAGATAAATAAGAATCTATCACCAGAAATGGTAAGTGAAGCCTCTTCGCAATAATAATAATAAAAAAAATCAACTTTTAAAATTTTATATTCAGTTACCTAATCATACAGATGGTTTTTATGCATTGCAATTATATGTATGCAGGGCTGCCAACTACTACATTCTCTGTAAAATATTTTATAGAGTGTTAGACAATCACAATCTAAAACATTCAGAATTTTGTTTCATTTTTCCAATATTTAAAAAGCTTCATCAGGAATGATTTTGACCAAAGTGGCAAGTCATATGAACTTTTGAATCATTCACATGTAGCGATTAAGTAAATAACTGGAACATAAGCTTAGCTATCACTACAAGAAACTTTCCCCAAAAGTGTAAAAATTTGACACCCCTGTGTATCCACCCAAATTATTCAATTGACTAATTAATATTTTTTTTAAAAAATTTATTCGTAAAATATTCCCCAAACAAGTAAAATTATTAAATAACTACCATTTTTCTGCTCATCTTTTCAAAATAATGTTTGAAAGCTTAAACGCAGCCAAACAAAATGATAATTTCTCATAACTTTATGTAATGAAGTATAAATTAATAAATGTATTTTACCTCTGAGAGCAAAAGGGTTAACGTAAGAAGAATGACCATTAAATTGATTAGTGTTTTCTTCAAGTGTTAATTGTTGTAGAGCTTTCATCCAGAGTTGAGCATTGCTTCCTACACAGAATAATAGTAACAATTAAAATATGTACATATTTTAAATGCTTGAATTATCAGTTAAAATTTAATGATATTAAAATTTCAGCAGAAAGTATACAATATTTAATTAAAAGCAAATTATTTACAAAATAATAAAATCTACTTAGTATATTAATACAGCACTTTATTTATATTTCACTAAAAATTTCAAAATTACCTTTTAGAATAATAATTTTCCTTTTAATTATTGTAATTCTAATTTTTTAATTCAATGTATTTTAAGGAAGTTCCAACTAATACCGCGGATATTGAAGATCACATAAATAGGCCTATGCGGTGAAATTTAGGATTTTTTAATCAATGAAAGTTTTTGCTTTATTTTTCAATTTTTTTTTAAAGGGGTCAACGCAAAATTTTAAAGATCTGGCAATTCATATTTTATTTTCATTTGGTTATTCTAACTGTAACTTTATTCATATTGCTTATATGTAGACGCGTTATTATTAGTATTTTCTCAGATACTTTTGACTTGTGTATCATCGAATTTTAATCTTTTGTTTTAATATTTGATTTTTTGACTTCATTTTATTTAGTTTATCCATTATGGGGCCTACGGGCATAGTCAGATTTTGGTTTTACCACTGACTACAGAAAAGGTCCCATATATTAGCCGACAGTGTGTCCTCTGATGAAGTGCTGCTTTTGGTATCTAACTTTTTATTTAAATTCTTTAAATAAAATAACAAGACAGCAAGCAAGCTTATCAGTTTGCATGTTAGGTATATTTGTGCTATTGAAATATACAAGTGTGATAGTGGCACAAAGCTGAAAATTTTATGTGCAAAATATTGACAAAAAATTATTTACTATACATGCTTCATATTTAACATGATTTTATAAACTAAGATTTATAATTAAATTACCCACTAATGAAGAATATCACACCTATATATTAAGTAATTTAGAAAAAAAACAACAACTTAATTCTGACAAAAATCATGATATTGTATTTTGAAACTGAGTGAATGCGAATCATATTACATAGATTTCAAATCAAGTATAAATACGAAAATCGATAATTTATATTACAAATCACAAGATTGGGTTTAAAAAGAGTGTGAAGACAAATCACAATATTGAATTTTAAAAACGCGCGACTACCAATTGCAATATTGAATTTTAAAAACGAGTGAATATGATTCGTAAAGTTGGTTTTAAAATTGTGTAAATACACATCGCAATGTATGATTTTTAAATCATATAAATATGAATCACAATGAGCAACTATGAAATCAGATAAAAGTGAAAATTGATGTTTGATACTAAAATCGTGTGAAGAAACGCAATATTAACGAGTTCCAAATATTCAAAATGGCAATAATTTGTAAAACCAAAAATTTCAAAATGTAAATTTTTGATTGTGATTGTCGACTGTGATTTGATTGTGATTTTTGTCGGATTAAAAGTTTTTGATTTGTAGAAGTCTGTGAATTAATGGTCTAGAGATAGCAGAGTACTGCTATATGTGCAAAAAATCACATGAATAAAAAAAAAGTAAATAATTCACAAAAAACAATAAATCATATTTTAAGTTAAAGAAAATTTAATTCAGTTTAAAAATGTCACAATAGATACAATTAATAAGGATTTTTAATCATAAATGAAATTTAAAACTATACTATGCAAATTTAATTACTACAAATTCAAATTGATCAGAATATATTCAAATTATAAGTTATTCAACGAGGGACTTTTAATTCATCCTTCTTAAAAGTAAGTAATTTTAGACTAGTTTAAGAATATGCATCTTCAAAAATTTTACTCTTAAACAAAAAAAAATAATTTTTTTTTAATAGTAATTGAAATAAACTCCTCTGCAGCTAAAATATATATATATTTTATAACCTACTTTTTATTTGAATCTCACTTCAATATTTTTTTTGGCATTTATTCAATTCTTATGTAAGTAAAAAGCTGAACAAAAAAATATATTTTTTAATAGGAATTTCCCTTATTTTCAGAAATTTTTTTAAACACACAGAAAACAGAATTTCAAATTAAAATGAGAGAAATTATTAGAAAATTTCAGTTGTTAAAAGTCTTACTTGAAAAATCCAGTAAATTTGTGCATTATATAATATACTAAATAGAATGAAACATTTTTATTAATAGAAAATTAATCATAGGTAGCCAGCTTATAAATTTGAAATGCTTTTACCACAAACTGATAAAAATGTTAAAATATAGGATTTTTCAAAAAAACAAAAAAAAATCTAAAAGATTAATAACAGCTTATTTAAATATTATCTGTCTTATGCTTTTTAAGAGTATATAACTGTTACATAAATAAAAAAATCACAAATGTTTCTTACTGTCAGCAGAATTTAAAAGCGGACCCTCGTTAGACAGCCATGGAAATTCCCTTCCTTGATTGTTCCAAGTTGGCCCTATTTAAAGAAGAATGCTCAATTAAGCACAGTATAAAATATAAATCAAGGGAAAAGGGATGTGTTAAAAGAAGTACATGTTGGTCCTATTTTGAAGCTGACAGTATCACTGTAGTTAAATTTAACTAACACAAGAGCTTTATTGATGGCTGATCAAGTGATGGTATAAACTATGACTGTTGCATTCAAAGAAAAGGAAGGACACAATGAATCTAGGGGCCTTGGAACAAGAGTTTACTCAAAACGACTAACTCAAAGAGAGGCTCGAATAAAAGACAACAATATCATAAAAGAAATATAGGCAAGAAAATTTTTAAAATCTATCATTCAAGGTCATTCATTTACTCTCCCACCAATGAAATTTACAGGATTATAACAAAACGATATCATTTAATAACTTTTTTTGTTAAGATACCTCATAGCTTAAATGTTTATTTTGCTCCCATCTTTGAAAGTGATAAAAAAAATAAATAAATAAAACCTCTAAAGATTCACTCAAAAATATTAGACCTCAAAGGTTTGTTAGATTCAAAATTTATTCGTTATTAGTAATCCATGAAAGATTCAAAAATTCTTATAACTAAAATTTGTAAAAGAATAAATTGCAGTGTCTTTATTTTTAAGTAAAGATAAATCTTAATTCAAAGGTTTATATTTTAAAAAGCAATTTTTTGCTATAAAAAATGGTGGACAAAATTATGCCACATAAATTAATGTACTGAATACTCATGATTGTTTAAGAAATAATTGCAATAATTTGTTAAGAATTGTAATAAATTGTTAAGAATATAATTTTATTTAAAAAATCATTTACTTTTTACTGACTCAAATATTCACATGTTGTATTCTCATGTCATATTCACAAGTTGTAATGATATTCCATTAAAAACTAGGTAGTAAAAACCATGCGAGTCTAAAGCAATAGCTGCTAAAAACCAAATTTAAGTTTAAATAATTGCAAATTTAGTAAGTAATAAAGTGACTTTTTACTTTCACAATTCAAATTTAATATATTATACTTCCCCATTAAAAATATTGAGATTTTTAAAACAAGATGGTAATCTGCAAGAATAATTTTTGAAGAAAGTGATAGATTAAACCATATGGATTTACAATGAAATCATAAAGTGCCAAGCATGTCAAAAAAGTCTTTAGTCAATTGCAAAATTCTCATGCTTTTTACTATTTTTTTAGAAACATCAGAATTTTAAAAACAATTCAGAAATATAAAGCAATTAACAAAAAATAAATTAATAACAAAATAAATGAAAGAAAACTATAAGATTACATAAATGTACAGTGCGCAAAATAAAAAACGGACTACCCTAAATAACTTTTGAGCTAATTATTGGATCTTCACGTTCTAGGACTTAATCTAAATGGTTCAAGGGGATGAACTCAAATACAATTCATTAGTGTAAATTAGTTTAAGCTACGAAATTAGACACAAAAACAGAATGCCTTTTTATCGACGGATTTGGATTTCTAACCCCTAAAATACGAGGGTGGGGGGTGTAACCACCACCTGGGGTAATAGGGTCGAGATGGTTTAGTGAGAAAAGAAATCCAAAGTGTGGAAGCCTTAAAGCTAATTTTACTTTTTGCGTATTTCGCAAACCTCAAGAACTTCTTCAGCAAATTGAAAAATTTTTGCTCACATTTATAAAATTCATCTACCCAAAGATAATTCTTCGCAAAAAATATATTTTAGTATATAATTATCTTGAAAAGTTTTGAATTGTAAGACATGTAATTTTTTACATAATTTTAAAGTATGTAAAATTACATACTTTAAAATAATGTAAAAAACTGCGTACCTTAGAATTCAAATTTTGCGACTACTACTAAATAAAATAACAAATATTTAAGTTTAATTTTTGCATAGAATTATCTTTGGATAAACAAATTTTATAAGTGTGTGCAAAAATATTTCAATAAGCTTAAAAAAAATCTCAAAAAACATTACGGAGTTCTAACTTTGGACTGCTCTCCTGATTCAACTATGAGGACTATATTTTTTAAGTTGCGGCTACCACCTATAATTTGGAGGTCGAAAACCTAAATCTGTAGAAAAAAAAAGGTATGCTTATTCAGAGAAAGTGCGTTTTTATTTTTGATTTTGTAACTTATAATATCGTCTGCACCAATTAATTAGTGTATTTGAGGTTACCCTCTCGAACCATTAAGAATGAGTCTTAGAATGTGAGTAGCTGATCATTAGATCAAAAGTTATTTAGGATGGTCTGATTTTTTGGGGCACTGTACAATGATACAATCTAAAAATTCAATGTGCCAAAAAGTGATTACTCAAATGTGAGACGTGAAATTTATGTGTTGTAATGCTATCATAATAAAACAACCAAGAATTTAAAAACCACATGAAATTCTGCAGTAATAACTAATGAAAAACCAATTGACAAGACTAAATAAACTTACGATCAAATTGTTAGGAATTGAGTCAATCAAAAACGGTTATTTGACGGCAGGATTTAAACTGTAGAAATGTTTTTAATGATATTGCAACATGTAGCAATATCATATTAAAAACAATGGGATTTTATAATCTATGCACAAAAGTGTTGATTAACTGGCCAAAACATAATATGCACTTTTACGTTTGAGCAGTCTAAATCAAGCTTATTTTTCTTTAAAAATACCAACCTGTAATGTAATTAATACTTTTGGTATATAAGTTTGACTTTTAAGTAGCTCTTTTCATAGCAATGGCCCCTTATTGGTGACCGGTAATAGCTAATCTAGAGATTTATTTGGACTACAAGACCTTAAATGTCACTTCTAGATGTTGCTGGAAAGTGGGACCACAAAACAAGAACATTTCAATCCATCTGTTTAAGATTGCAAACTTTTGTTAAATTCCACAACGGCCATTTTGCATCATACGGATGGAATAAGGCTATATTACACAAGATTTTTATAGCTACATTTTACTTATAATGCATTACTGCATACTGAATTAGTTTAAGCATCAAAATACTCTAAAACTAAAAAAAGCTAGTTTTTTTTTAAAAAAAAAAAAACAGTAAAACCAATTCTGATTAAAGCAGGTACCACTTATCTTATAAAACACTTGGTAATTGATTTAAAGCTAAAAAACAAAAGTTTTAATGAATGACTATATATTTTCTGGTAATCATTTAATTTGTTCAAATATATCTAGTAGTCATCAGTAAATCTTTTTACTTACTGCTATCTAATTTAGATGCTCGGTAAAAATTTAAAAATATAGATAGGAAAGAGCACTACAGAAATATACATAGAACTAATTACCCTTAAAAATATTTATCACAGATTCAAAGGAAATTTAATTTTCAAATTTAATATTACTAAATTTTTTTAAATAAATATTACACATTAACATCACATATTTAATTTCTATTATAAACAACAAATTTATGCCAAAACAAAAAATATATTTTTCTTACCATTTTGATTATGACTTTTTTGCATATTTCTAGAATTTAAATTATAAACCATTTCTGGAAGTATGCTTCGAAAGCGTTCTTCGAAACTTTTCTTTCGTATATTTTCCTGAAGTATAAAATATAGTTTTAGATTGATAAATAAAATTTCTATGTTAGATGGAAATCTAAAGGGAATAAGCATGCTGAATTCAGAAAAACATAGCTTACCATTAAGCTTTCGCGTGAAATTTGTGGTGGATATTGCTGCTTGAATTGGTTTGAAATATTAAGAGGGTTTTGTGATTGATCTTGCTGATAATAATGGGAGCAACCATTTAAAGTTTGTCTAGTTGGTAGCTTGCAAGGAATAAAATCTACAAAGAGATGACATAAATTACAACAAGCATAAAATACCGGGGTTGCAAGATAAAAGGCAACATGCTTTGTGCTTTATAATTATGACATAGCATTTTGTATTGCATGAAAATAGAGGCTCAACTAAAAAGGCTGTGAGAAGAGAAAATGGAATTCAAAGACGTTAATTTGCAGAGATGCTTTTCTGTAGTCATGAAACAATGTAGGCACAGCAAAATACATTTTTTTCAAATCAATAAATAAACTTTAATACATTTATTACAAATACCTTGTAAACCAATAGCATTTTTACATGTCAGAAAATTGTTTTGAATAAAAAAATCAACACAAAGAGAAGGCTGTTTTGAATTGAAAAGAACTGAAAGAACTTTCAGAACTCTTCGCCAAAGAAAATAAAGTACCTTAAGTATCTTTTGAGTACCTAACACCAGAGGAAAAAATTTCATTTTAAACTACATCATTATTTTGCTAAAAACTGGACTTACACTTAGGGTACCCTTCTAGGGAGTCTGGTGAAATAAAAAGAGAGTGAGGAAGAAAAGATTAAAGTATGCCACTGAGTTTATTACTGTTAATCTAAAAACTTATTGAATTATTACTTTTTTTTTTACCTTAGCATAAGAGATTTAAAGGCCTAATAATATTTTTAATCAACTAGGCAATAAAAAATTTTAGTCGCAAGTTTCAACAGATAGAGGATTTACTTACTGATTTAACTATAAAAAAGTAGAACAACAAAAATACCTGAAAGAAATTATTAATATTGTTAAAAAGTCAAAAATCATGTGTTGCATTAATACCTGTGTTTGAAGGACCATACATTCCAGCCATGTGGTTGAGGGTATTTGTTTGAGGAACTTGCCTGGAACAGAAGCCAGGAGGTGGAACAGATATTCTTTGTTGGTTTGGCACCGGTGTTTTAATGGGTTGGAAAAATCCTGGGGGCGTTTGCATTTCTGAATATGTGGGGGGATTATGTACAGCTTCTTTGGCCATCAAATCAGCTAGACCTTTAGAAGATTCGTTCCAAGGATCAAAATCTAAACATGAAGATTTCATTTTTAAAATGATGTTGTGGCTAATATATGGCTACATCTCAGAGAATAAATACTCATAAGATATGAAGGAAGGTGCATATATATAGTTAAATTTTGTAAAGGCTTAGAATAAATGCTCATATGATAATACTTTAATGCTTAGAAAATCACATGCACTTTTAATGCTGAACGTAAAAACATCCTTTCATATATCAGATTGAGTTAAATGAACTTTTGATACTTCTGCTCTGCAACATATTTTATTTTTATTAAAAATTTACTACTAGTGGAGCAAGTGTTGTTTTGTATTTTGAAACAGTAAAAATATTTGTGTTATACTGTGGAATGAATTTTTAATTCATTATACAAGGCTGCTAGTAAAATAGGATAAAAATAGCACTTACTTAGGGACACCATAATTAATAATGTAGGGACTTTTTGAGGTAAAAAATAACAATAAATAAATGAATATTAAAATACATTTATAGACCTCCAGTTAAATTTACTTATTTTAGGTAATTTATTTATAAAATTTGTTAAATTATTTTTTTTCTATTTATGACATCAAATTATTAGCTCTTTTTTTATTTTTGACTTTCAGTTACACATTAGCTGTTATCATATTTTATGCAATTCTAGCTTTAAGTTATATTACAATTTTGTAGAGCACATTGTTGATTTCAGGGATTAATTTGTCTGATACGGCTACTTGTCTTTTCTTGAAGGAATGAAATAAACTGGCAATGGATATAAAAAACAATAATTGGCTTTTCACTATTTTATATATCCAGTTATTCTTATGTAACTAACTGAAGTCAGTGTCCTCTTCTTTTCTGCATTAAATATATTGGAAGAAATATTCATTGAAACATTTTTTTAGAAAATCTGATTTACTGTAGGTTAGCTGCTGTTGTCTTTTCATCTTGATGGCCAGTCACAGAAATGGTTCAATACTGATACTATAAAATCAGATTAAATTTTTAAAGCTTTCTTAAAATAAATAAATAAAATTAAAAAAAAACCTAGCGTGCAGAGCATGTATCAATGCCCAATATTCTTTTTTAAAAATTTTATTAATATTTCTATTAAGTAGTCATATTGAGTTTACTAGTAAAATTTAATTTCATAACTAAATTCAGACAGTTTCTTATTGACGAAATTTGGGTTATCATGTGTCATATAAAATCTTTAAAAAGCTAATTTGCATTTACTATGTCCTAAATATACATTGTTGATGCCTGTAACAACGTGCTGTGTTGGTGACCCTATGCAGTTTTTCAACTATTTGCTGGAGTTTTTTTTTTCTTCCTTCAGTAGCTGAGTAATCTTTATGAATCAATTTAATACGAAAATGAAATACTATTTCAGTTTACTTTTGCTGCTCAAGCGTATGCTAGTTGTATTTCGGACCTGAATCTACTAACATATCCAGTTAGCAAAAATACATTTACCTGACGATTGTGCTACTCAAATATGTAAACATTTTTATGATCTTAAAGATAGCTTTTCTCAAAATTCAACATTAAAATATTATTTGTTATTAGATTTATGATTAATTTAGGTCACTTGAAAAATAAATTTAAATAGCACAGTAAATAACAAATTTTAATAGCATAAAACCTAAGTATGGATAACAATACAGATTACGAAATTTTGCGCGTAGTCGGATTATTTAAAACATGATTAAAGGATATATCTTAATATGAGCTTATCAGTTAAAAAAGGATTGCATAGAAATGCCTTGACGGAATTTTCTGCTAGGCGGGTTAAAAGTTTTGCAATTTCTCAGCATAATAACCCCACAGTCTCGAAGTGACTTCTCCAAAAGTCATTAGTTTTCTGATTGAGTAAGAAAACTATACTTCTATTCAGTTTTCTCTCTCCTTTTGTACATATACTAAAAATTTTTTTTTTTTCACTAAGCATAAAATGATGGAAAAATAGCCTTAATATGTCACTCAACTATATTAAAGGAAAAAAAAAATTGACTAAGCAGATTTTGTATCTTAATTATGGTATCACATGGTCAGAGGTGTAAATATATTGAATAAAGTGACTGTTAGAATGTTTATTATATTTACTAAAATTTTAAGAATTTTTACTGTATAAGATAGGTTGAACTCCGACCCACCCCAGGGGGGTATACGATGATAAAAGTTAAATTATTGAAAAATTTCTCAAAAAACTAAAATTACAGTAAAATTTTGCCAAATAACAGTGGTGGTGATCAGTTAAAAGTGGATTAACTATAACATTTGACAATTTAAAACAGGCTTTAAAGGCAATAATATCCAATAGCGCCGGTGTAAATGTCGAGAATTAAATGATTATAATAATAAGGAAACAAGAGATAAAAAAAATCTCAAAACTAAAATCAATGAAGGCTAAAAGTTCTAAGTGTAAATGTCTAAAAGTAAAAGTCTGACTAGAAGTCGATGAAGTCTAAAATCAAAAGTAGATAAAATTTCAAAATGTAAGGCCAAAAGTTGATTAGTATAAATTAAGGATGACATATTCTATTGTTGGTTCATGACTGGGGTCAGTTGATCTGGGGCTAAAATGTCCTAGAGGGTTTGTTTAATAATTTGAGTCACAATTTTCCTGCAGGTTAATATAGCAAAGAATTGGTGTTCCTCTTCGTAGTTATTCATGTGGGTTCCACGAAGTGACCGGAATCTTGGACAGTGCTTAATTAGATGTTTAATATTCTGACTCACTCCACTGTAATACAGCTTATACATTTTACTGTATAAGCTGTATTTATAATTTTTAGAACATTTCTTTCTACTTATTGAGAAAAAAAAAACTACTAATATATACAGTAGGGAACCGATTATCCGGAACGATCGGGACCATCGCTATTCCGGATAACTGATCTTTCCGGTTTTCTGAATCGCTACAAAATGCCGTTCTTTTGTTGCTAAACCCAACTTAAAAAAAATGTTTGGAAATAATCTTGAAAAGAAAAAATTAAACACGAATGATTATTTCCAAAATGACGGGAAGGTAAACATCTTTCAAAAAAGGAAGAAAAATCCTAAAATCTTAATAGGAAAAAAACATTTTTTCAAAAAAAAAAAAAAAAAAAAAAAAAAAAAAAAAAAAAAAAAAAAGGGGGGGGGAATTGATTGAATTTCGTTCCGGTTATTTGGTTTTCTGATTTCCGGATAACGGGTTCTGTGCTGTATATATAATTTTTATACAGTAACAGTGAAGGTTATTTGGTTTTCTGATTTCCGGATAACGGGTTCTGTGCTGTATATATAATTTTTATACAGTAACAGGCAATCAGAACGATTTGTTGGGATTAAAAAGTTCTACTGTAATTAAATTCATTACAAATTAGGCTATAATTATGAGTATGTTTGAAATTGTTTCAATAATTGAAATTATATGTGTAACTGGTAGTATTATCACATGCAACATCACAAAAATGCACACACCTAAATCATCCTCAGGCAGTTGTTTTTGGGATTCTTCATAGGAGTATGTTGAATTCCAATCTGAGTTATCTGTGTTAGAAGGTTCTAAAAGAATTAATGAAAATTAAATGGAATTTGCATTTTATTTTAATACATACTAATTACTTTTTCACATTAAGGTTTAATAAAAACTAAAAGCGACATAAATACTGGTGTTCTCTTTTGTGTGAATATTTTCAACATATAAGTCTTACTCAATAATTTAATGACTTAGAAAATCAAGTAAATTGGTAAATAGATTATAAAAATCAAATTTTTTTAAAATGAAAGCTAGTATAATTTATCACGATTTTAAAAATTTCAATCAGTTAACATTAAGTCCAGGCAACAGAACTTAAAAATAGACATTACTCTGAAAAACTGATGACAGTTTTTATTTTTTTATGGTGTATTAAACACGAATCCACATTTAAAAATTTTTTAGGAGAAAATCTCAAAAAATCTAATTTAACACAAAATATTTTTTCTGGTTTATGGCAGCATGTTGAAAAATTGGACAAAATTTGTTATGAATTCTGTGCAATATAACTGTAACTATAACATAAATGTAGGGAAATAAATCAAAGAATTACTAATATGGGAGAGCCCCAACCGTAAATTGAGGACATTTGAAGCTTTAACAGTCTGTTTTTAAATTTTTAGCAATTAAAATTTACTATATGAATCTAAACTTTTTGATGCAAAGGGTAAGTTTATACAGAACAAAAATAATAATCTTACTAATTAAAAAAAAAACTATAAACAAAAAAGGGTTTCATTTGGCAAGTTTAGAACAAAGTTTCGATTATGGAAATTTCACATTCAGATCTATTTTCTTAGGGTGAATGTTGATGATGTCAATGAATGAAGAATGATGTTACTCGAAAGTTTTATTATTATTTTTTTAAAGAATTTCATAACTCAGGCCTCTATGGTAAAAACATACGATACTAAATGAAAAATCTGAAGACATTGTCGTTAAGCAATGCAATTATAAATTAGTTAAATTCTGTATATAAGTTTATTTAGATAGCTGTTTATTGCCATCACTTGCCTTAATCATTAATTTCCTTATTTCCTGTAAAAAGAGGCATAACCAGAGAGACTGGGAGGGGTGTACTTGATATCGCACATTTCAACTGACCATTGATTCCACATATGATGGACAGGAATGATAAATGCTTTGCAAAATTAACAGTTCTTTGATTCCTTATTCTAGAAATACGTAAGAATTTTAGGTGTTTTTCTTATCTTTTTGCATTTGTATGCGAAAGGATTTAAGCTTGAATGTCCCTGAAAACTATATAATAGAGAGCAACCTATTGATATATATTGCTACTAATCAAGAATACATTTGATAGTATTATAATAATAGTACTTCAATTCATCGTTTCTGCATTTCTCTTTTTCCAGCATATATTCACCTGTTTTAAGCGTCCCTCTAGAAATGCTTTTGAAACTAGCAGATTCTTACATCTACCAATCAGAAATTCTACAAACGTTTAAAAATTTTTTTTTAGAAGAATAACAGTAACTCGCGATGTTAATGATGAAGAAAGACAAATAATAATTTGTTAGTTTTGGAAATGCACATCGAACAGCAAGTTTAATGTCTATGCACCAGTTGTTGAAAATGTTTAAACTCATGGTTCTGTAGGCTCAAGAAATGGCTGAAGAAGTACGAAGTGATACCAATGACGATGGCAAAACAAAGCCACAATCAAAGCCATTATTTGTAGCTGGCCTTAAAGCATTTGAAACAACAAGGAACTTTCTGTATTCAAATGAATTTACAGAAAAGGAACAGTCTGAAAAAAAAAAAAAAAACCACAAGAGTTTAAACCAAAATATCCAAATATTTAAAATAAATAAATTTGATTATTCATCTTTCTTTTGCATTGTGAATATGCTTTGACTACCATATATTTTTCCAAATAAAAGCCTATCTGTGTATAAGTCAAAGAGTACTTTTTTTATTTGCATATTCACCCAAAATTCATATATAAGCTGACGTAAAAAAATAAGGAATGTTATACTTGGAAATAAAAATGTATAAACCCTCTTCTAGTAACGAAAGATCAGTAACAGTTGGATGGGTAAAAGGAGCATGAATTTTCCGATGCTGTAATTAGATGTTTTAAAAAAAATGTAGCATCACAGCAACAATATAATTAGGAATCAGAAGTGAGGATAATGTATTGCATCTAGACATTCCAATAACTGAACGGAAATTTGCTGAAATTTATGGAGAATGTGATTCTGAAACGGAATTTATTGGATTTTTTGTCAATTAAGTATTATCATTCACCTAAACATTTGCAAGCTAGAAGATTAAAAAATAATTGTGTTCTTTTCAAATTGACTTATATGTGTTAAGTTTTCAAAGTTTACAACTTGGCATTCTGTTTTCAACTATTAGTTCATGCATATTTATTTAATTTTGTAATGTTTTGCAACATTTACTGAAATTTAAATTAAAATAAAACTATTATCATGCTAAATAAAATTCAACAATTAGTTGGACATATATACTTCAACTACGTTAAATATTAAGACATATTTCCTTTCTAATAAAAAAAAAAAAAAAAAAAAAAAAAAAAAAAAAAAAAAAAAAAANAAAAAAAAAAAAAAAAAAAAAAAAAAAAAAAAACCCACTGTTTAAACTACAAAAAATTAGTAACAACGAATAGTTAAAAATTTGCGTCTTTTGCCACCTTTCGAATTTCATATGTTGCAATAATACTAATATCAAAATATCAATATTTTAAATATCACACGGAAATGCATAACTCTATCTACCAGTTAAAACGACCGAAAAGTTACTTGATTTTAACATAAAATGGTCACAAATAAATTACATTAAAAAGTTAATAATTTAATTGCTGTATTCAGAACTTGCATGTCTAAATAAAAATATCGGAATTTTTAAATAACAATGAACAAAGTAGCAATAACAGCAAAAAAAAAAAACTTATTAAAATTTACACTAAAATCGGCACAAATAAAGTTTGTCAAAAAGTAATTTAAATGCATGTTTTAAAACCCATGTGCTGTAATGATATAGTATAAAAATATCAAACTTTTTAAAACTATGCGAAAATATGTCGGAAAAATGATCTAAAAATAAAAGGGATTTAAGATGAAATTGGCATCATTAAAGAACTTCAAAAAGTGATTTAATTGCACAGTTCAAATCTTGCACGCAGTAATAATATCATAATAAAAATATTGTGATATTCAAATTCATCTGGAAAAATGAAGCAACAACTGCCAAAATAAAATTTTTTTCAGATTAACAAAAAAACTTTATAGATGTAAGGTAAAATCCGTACAAATTAAGCATATATATATATTTAAAAAAAAAAAAAAAAAAAAAAAAAAAAAAAAAAAAAAAAAAAGAAATTATAACAAGAGATTTTCACTGAGTTAAGATTTATGCCTCAGGCTGCACATCAACAACAGCTGTGGACCGCAGATTATACACCACTATTTTAACCTATTATCTTTCAATATGCATGTTTTTATTTATTAAAAAAGCAGATAAGATAAAAATTTCGAATTCCGCTCAGAATATTGTTTGCAAAACTGCTTAAGATACTTGGATTAAATATATACCACGCAAAGATAGTGATTTAAACATTAAGTGAAACAGGCCTTGCATTAAGAAATGAAAGTAATAAAAGATTCACTAATACTAAGTAGCAATAACTTTTCCTTCAACATACCTTCACTGTGCAGATGGCTATTATAAGAATTGCATTCTGTTGAAGCAGGTAGGTAGTTCATATGACTAAAAAGAGACTCATTTTCTATATTGTTGCTAAAGAGATGATTAGGAGATTGGCTCTTGGTTTCAATCATAGATGGGGCAGCATATGTTTCATTGGGAGAACTATCTTCCTGCAGGTTTGGAGAACTTCCACCCATATTGCCGAAAGAAAGTGGATTGCTATTGCTAGGAGGAGGTGAGGGAGACGAGGAGGATAAGAAGTTGCTGGATAAGCTCCCAAAAGGTGTGAAGAGAGAGGAACTTGAAGAAGATATGGGCGAAGGTGGCAATACTGGACTTTCGCTGCGAGCTATTTTGATGCTTGCAGAGACTGGTTTTGATTGGTCTGTTATATGAACAAAAGTGGTTTGTGCATTTTTATGGTTCATATCTGAAACATCTGAGGTTCTTTCACACGGAGAACTCCCCCTTTCCAGTCGCTTCACAGGGGAATGACCAGAAGATTGTGCAGAAGTTGACTCTTTGTGTTTATTCTTTTGACTTTTCCTTTGTGCTGAACTTTCATCTTTAGTAGAAGTTTTTGACACACTTTGGACAGATTCTGAAGATTTACTTTTGCCTTTTTTGCTGCATAAGAAATAAAAACATTAGTTGAGATTAGTAAATAAATAAAAAAAAAATTACATTGAAAACATAAGTAATAAAAATAAAATAAAATCTCAATTGATTACTTAGTATCATTGTTTTTATAAATTTTGAAGCAAATACCCTTACCTTTGAATTAAAAGTACAGTTTATATATAAATTTGATAACAGTGTTATAATTGAATTGGAATAAATACAAGTTAAATATTTAATAAAACGCTAGTACAATTAAAAAAAAAAAAACATGTTAAAACTATATCGTAGTGCTGTGCGATCTCTGTCATACGAATCTTGATCCACTCTTGTTGCCCTTGTTCCAAAAACATGCATTTGTTTTAATGCAAAGTGGATATGAAACTAACATGATGTATAAGTGATATTTAATTTCATAGCCCTCTGTACAGCAGTGTTGTCACTAATAAAGTTTCATGTATAGTTAGAATATAACACCTAGTAACATTATTAAGGTACTTAATACTGCTTTTAATAATAATAACAGCTATAGAATTACTAGCAATATAGAATTTGTAAACAAAATATTAAAAAAAAAAGTTTTTAAATAAGCAATCAATAACTATTAACAGCTTTGTCATTTTAATAGCACAGAAATATTGACAAACCTTTTTTGTCCTTCTGACGTGTGTTTATTTTTAAAACGGTTGCTTTTGCCTTCTGTTTTTTGACTTTGTGATGAATCTTTTGTTCTTGTTCGAGATTCTTTAACATTCTGTACTGTACATGGCCAAGATTCTTTAGCAGAACTTGTGGAAATTTGTGGTGTTGGAGATACTGTTTGCTTTCTAAACATATAATAAAACAAAATTAATATTTTTGCTTTTGATTAAAAATATGTTCAAATGGTATCTTTTTGAATAATAATAGATAATTTTAACTAAGTCAAACACAAAAGTATTTAGGAATATTTAAATTAATAATAAATTTACTAACACACACAATTACAGAAATGCACAAATTAGTAATGAAACTGAATAATAAATACTACATCATATACTTGTATCTTGTACAAAGATCATTTGTTATTAATATAATTTGATAAGATATTAATAGCAATAATATTCAGCACAATTACAATCCCTTTGTATATATTAACAAAATGTAAGCAATAAACAAAAGTAACAAATTTAGAATTGATTTAACTTTAAAAAAAAATGTTTATCTAGACCAGGGGTGTCAAACTCAACAGCAAACTTGGGTCAAATGTACAATGCTTCACTTTAGGTGGGCCTCAAAAAAAAGTTTAAAAAAAGTCAGTGTTTACAGAAACAAATATTTTTATTTTGAATAGTACATTGTAATAAGCATATATAAAGTAAAATTATTGTTCGGTATTTGACATCTCTTCTCTGCTACTATCTTTCCTATTTCGGGAGAAATTTTATTGGCCGAGACTACTTTCAAAATTGACCCAACGAGAGCTATTAATATGGTTTCGGACAGATTTATTTTCATTCATAACAGAAAATAATTGCTCGCACTGATAAGTACTTCCAAACATGGAAATAATTTCTTATGCCAATTTTCGAGTATTTTTAAACCTTGCCGGTAAATATTTGTAAAATTCAGGCACACCCACTTCAATAAATTTTGTCTTCAAATTTGAGTCGCACTGAATCTCAATGACTTCCATTTGCATATTACTCGGTTCTGAGTCTATATTTATTGAGAAAATCGAAGAAAACAAACAAAATTTGTCTTCCAAAGAATTAAAATCTTTAAACCTTGTTTCAAATTCTGTTCTAAGACTTGAAATTCTTTCTGCTTATTTTTGATAAGATGCAGTATCTCTGGAATGGCAGGTGCCGTAAGCCAGTTAGAATTTTACATTTTGGCCAATACAATTTAAAATGATCCGTATAGTTCATAAATAAAGTATATTATAATTTTATATGCTAGTTTCCTTTCTAATTCACATTTCTATTTTATTTTTACTTTGCGTTGGTTATATTGAGACTGGGCTGCAAAAATGTTCATCTCGGGCCACATGCGGCCCGCGAGTTTGACACCCCTGATCTAGACTGATAAACAATATAAATGTTTACCTATTATTGGAACCTAGTATTTGATCTTGTAATTTCTTTTCGTATTCTTGATGTTTACTGTAAATAAATTTTTTATAATTTAAATATTGTTAGTCAAATTAAAGAAAAAATCAATGAAAGAAAAAAAAACTAATGTATAATTGCCGAACATAATTCATATAGGAATAATGCTCATTATAAAAAATATAAAATTCATTATAATAAGAATATAATATTCACTTTGCGTATGAGCTGAAAAGTATGCTTTTTATTCGGAAATTCAGCAAAAAATTCAGAACTCTAATATGAGTCAACAGAAAAAATAAGGCAAGTTATGCTTGGAAACCAAGCCTCTTAAGTAGTAACGGTTGCATAATGGGTAAAAGATGCATAGACCTGCCGAATTTGTAATTAAAAGATAAAAATATAATAGTATTCCTTCCAAATTGTCATTTATATGTGTTTCTTTTTCAATTATTATATTTAGGCATCCAGTTTTCAACTATTATTTCATACATATTTTATGTTAGCAGGGTTCCCACTCAATTTTTAAAAAAAAATTCAAGGACCTGTTTGATATTACAGTTATATGCTAAAGTACATGTCAACCAGATTTTGCAATTACAGAGAAGCAGAAATTGTATATTTTTAAAGCACAATGGTTGATAGTTACATTGCTGATTCAAATCACTTTCATCATTCAAATTGACAAAAAAAAAAAAAAAAAACTTCAATTGACAAAAGATACTAGTCAACATTTAAAAACTAGCATCAGTGAAACTTTTCATGAAAAATTTAACTAAAATGAAGCGAATTAGAATTAATGAAACTGAGTGAATGAATAATACATGTTACATTAAACAAGCATAGTAAATAATTGATAAAGTTTGTGTAATTGCACGGTTAATAAAATATAAATACTTTTCTTTAATACGTTAGATCAAATTTTAGGTTACAGGAAATGTATATAATTAGATAATATATCAAAATATATCCATTTAACATATCTGTTTCAATTTTAATAACAAATTATCTATTTTGTTACTTTAGAATATCAGTAATATATATTTTGAACATAATAAAATCTATAGTAGAACAATATTTACAGATAACTAAGACTTACCAAGTTTTATTTTCTTGAAAATATATCCATAAAATTTGAAGCGTGATTTTTAAAATTTTGTGAATATGCGTAATTTTCACTAAGCGTAATTTTTAAATTGCATTTATATGAAACTAGATATACTATATGTAAATCAAAATTATGAGAAAGGTGAAGTAAGTCTCGAAGATTGTGTAAATCCCGTATCACAGTGATTTGTAAAATGAAATTGAATTGTGGTGGATGTTTCTTAAATCGAAACAATATGAATAGCAAATAATACAAAACACGCAAACTAACAAGATGCAAATCCCAATGTGTGATACATAAATCCCTTTAATGTGAATTCTGTTGCGTGATAAGCTAATAGTTTTCCTGTGAATAGTAGTTATGATGCAAATTGAAATTCGAAAGGTGCTTAATATAGAACAGCTATGAGTGATTATTTAATCATTTTGATGAGAATTGTGAGTGGTAATTCTTAAACCTCTCTTTTGTAGAACAAAATTTTATTTACTAGCAGTAAAAACTAAATGTAAAAATTTGATTATAAATGATAAAAAATTAATTATCTCTCGTACACAAGTTAAAAGAACAAATAGAATAACAATATTAACCTGTAGTAATAATGAAGTTAACACATTGAACATATTTCTAAATCGATGAAACACATTACATCAATCAAAAACTATGACTACAAAACCTAAAATTTGCTAGAAATTTCAGCTTTCAAAACATCAGAGAGATGAACAATAGTCTGGTGTGAAAAATCTAGGAGAGTTTTGCATTTTCTTTACCTCCTTTCACTTCAAGCATTAAAAATGAAACTATCAGAATTTCTATAATTTTCCTTTGAATTTACTTATTATTTTTTTTACTGCTTTTTTGTAAGAAAGATTAGTATTATTTTATTTTCTAAAAAATCAAGTATTTTTCAAGAACCCTATGGCAGAATTCAAGGAATTTTCAGGGCCCTGATTTTTTCCAACAGAATTTAAGTACCGTGGGAACCCTGGTTAGTAGGTTTGCTTTCCGATATTTACTTGTTATCACTAATGATCAACAAAAGAAGTATTTCTAATGGCGACGTCCTTCTGGAATTTTTCAAAGTTAGTGGTTCCGACTGCAATCCAAACCCCCCAACTTCAGCATAGGAAAAGTTTTTAAAAATTCAGAAGGTATTTTCAGAAATATAAGGTAAATAAAATTTAGCATACCCCTGTTGCATATCTTCTTTTGTAAAACTAGCAGCTTCATCACCAAGTTCATGTAAATACATGCAATCCTAAAATTTACATTAAAGTTACACATTAAAAATTTTCTCTTATAATTATTTACAAATAATTCGAAAGAATTAAATGAAAAAAATAATGTGGAAACTTACTGTTTTCGGACATTGTTGATTTTTCAAAAAATGACTACAATATTTAGTGGTCCCCAGAGAGGCTTTTAACGTTCTTCCATCAACCTGAATATTATTTACAGACTTAATAGCTCTCAGAGCATCTTCTGGCCTACAATATGTTACATAAGCACTAGCACTTGGGCCCTGAAATATAATATATATGTAGCACACACATATTGAATACATAGCTGAAACTTATATGACTAACAAATTTTAAGCTTTACAATTTAATTTTTGAATAAATTTACATAAATTTAAAAGGAAGATTAAAACTTATCTGATTAAATATGGAAAAAAAAATGGAAATAAAATCGTTTTAATGGGATTTTGTTAGATTAAATTGTTAATTTCATAAACTTAATTCTGGGTTTTTATGAAATTATTTTCTTGTTTCTTTTATTATTTTCTTTTCTGCACTAATGAAGCAAAAGATTTCACTGTCACAAACTTTAAGGCATCCTAACAAATATACTAAAAATGGGTGCGTTAAGTATTTTTTCGATAAATGACATTTTTAAAACTTATGGGAATAACTTTTAAATAATATAGCATATAAATCATTAGCATTTAAAAAAAAATTGGAGCAAATGAAAATTATACCAAAAAGCAATTCAAATTTTTAAAATCTCTTGACTAATAGTGAGAGTGATTTCTTTTTATATCATTATTTCATAAATTAAACTTTTAAAGTTAAAAAAAAAATATATATTTTTAATACAAAAATATTGTGACCTAACTTTCACAATTGATCGTCTCAGGCCCACAACACATTCACATTGCTTGCTGTTTCCAAAAACATCAAAATGAATATCTTAAGGTTCTCCATTAGGTTTAGGTTGCAAGCCAGTTCATTATTTGGATTGGATTTCTAAAATTTCTAAAATTGGTGCACTACATGGAATTCTTATTACAATAGAAAATTTTATCTTTTCTTTAATTGCACAAAATTCATTACAAAAAGGACATATTTTAATTATTAATGTATACTTTATATTTTATGATTTACTTTAATGATTTAAATTAAAAAAAATAAGTGAATGCTAATTTAAAAAAGTGAACATAATCCTGATTTAGATTATGAGTTATAATAGTTCACATAATTTACAATAGATCATGAATTTTCAAGATTAAAATTTTTAAATACAAAACATATATTACAAAAGTAATTGTGTATGTATTGATGCTGAATTTAGACAATTTTGAAATACCATATATCCTAATTTTTAAGTTTTTGTAGTATAGGTTACCTCCTGAAATAAAAACTAACTATGAAAATTCCTAAAATTATACAACATATCCTTGATATGATACATTCGACTTCAAATAACGATGCAATGATACTCCCTCTCAAAGATGCATTAATTAACGCAGCGTTCATGCTAAAACTATATCAAGTATTGCCTTTATTAGATAACAAAATTTTAATTGGTTAAGGTTTAACATGTTTATCTATATAAATTATAGAGAGCAATTTTTTGTGCAAAAATTGGAAAAAATTAGTAAAGTAGTTTCCTTAGTAAAATAGACAGTTATCATGCATCTAGTTTATATAGAGGGCTTAATTTCAGAAAACACTGCTAATATAGTAAAGAAGAAATTTAAAACTATTTAAACAAAGTGCAGTATTCACAAATTAATATTCCAATTTTAAACTTATCTAAAAATTTTTAACAAAGCTGTAGCAGAATTTTTACAAGAAAATAGAACCAAAACTAATTTACTTTGATTCTCATTGACTACTTAATGATATCATGAATTATGAAATTTGTTATTTTACAGGTGTGATGATGGCATTTTCAGGTTTTGACAAAAAATTACATTATTCTCCGACCCAGTCAGAACTAAATCTGATGCAAAAACAGAAAAGGGAAATATTCATGATTTTAATTTTATTCTGTAACTTGCACAAGTCTTTATGCACTCGCATCAAATTTAAAAAAAAAATAAAAGACTTGATATTTATATTAAATTTAATAATTTTAAAATTAATTTTTGCATTCAATGAATAAAGTGATTTTTTTCTGTCAGTATAAAAAGTTAAAATACTTCAAGCTCCTTCATTAAAAAAGTTTATTTTTCAACTTTTTAATGTTTGTGTTGTTATTAATGAATTTGCATTCATTAAGAGGAAATTTTCTGAAACTTTAGTTAAGGAAAGAGATGTAACTATACATTTAAGAATTCTATACATTACATTACAAAATCTATACATTAAGAATTCTATAAACTAGACATTAATCTTTAATTTCATCTTAACAAACATTGTGAAATATGACTTTAACAACATTGATAAAGAAATATCACTAAAACATTTTCCACGTAGTTAAAAATGTGATTTTCTGTATATCAAAGCTCAAAACATGCATTAATTAATTAGAAATAAATAAAAAATCAAACATAAAGAAAGGAAATGACGTACAGTTACCTGGGAACCAGCATACGTTGTACTTTGATTCACAACCACTTTGTGAATCTTGCCAAATTTTCCAAAATAATCGAATTTTTTTAAGACTTCTGGATCAGCTAATCTGGCTGGTAAGCCAACAACAAAAACTAGATTTTTTTGTACAACTCTATAAAAAGAAAAATTTAAATTTTTATTAAAAATAAAATACCAGAAATTCATAAATTTTATAACAAAAGTATAAATTTAATAGATAAAGCTTGAAGGGGGGGGGGAGTATAATTTTTAAAGTTTATGTAGATGAGAAGTTCAATATAATTTTCTAAAAATAAGGGGAAATGTTGCTTTGGAATGTAAGTAGTTTAGGTTGGTTCTTTAGTATTTTTTTTGTATATGAACATCCATATGTTTTAATGATTTTATTTTAATTCCTCAACTTTAAATAGCAGTATTTATATTCAGTATTGTAGCATAAGATGACAAAAAAAGCAATAAATAATTTGATGGAAAAATATTTTGTAAATATTTTAAATTCAAAGATTCAATAGAAAAATACTATTTTGGCCAGATCTTAAGGAAAAATGCGAGTAACTTGAAATAAGGTATATATAGGGTTTTGTGATACAGTGACTTACATTTATTAAAATCACCTTTATCCAGCTATTTTTTAAAAATTTTTTTTTAAAGGCACATTTTAGAAACAGGCAAAAAAATTTCAGCATTTAATTTCATTAATATGACATTAAATTAGAAAAAAATTAGAATATGTACACACAATTTTATCTATTTTAAAAAGCATTTTTCTGCTAAATAAAATAAAACATTTATTCATATAAACATATGTTTGATAAAACATCCTATGAAAGTCAAAATTTTACTTTCTCTTTTCTAAAATTATTATTTTATTGCGAAATAAAATGACTGGCAAAGATATCCTTAAATCTTATGATTTATTTAATTTAATAACAAAGTAAATAAATAATTTCACTTATAACTTCTATATGTGTGGATTTCTGAATATTTCTCTCTCATTTATTTTATTATTTTTTTTCTGACCTTTCCTTTTTCATTATGTATACCATTCATCATACATGTATTTATATCTAGTTATTTCATGACGAATCAGTTTTTCTTTTTTGCCTTTCTTAAACTATAAAGTGGTCACAAAAAAATGGCATTGTAGCATAAAAATGTATTAATAGAAAAAACATTCAGAATTTTATCTGAAGCTTTTCTGAGAACATATACATACTACACTTTTTTTAAACCAGTGCAAGAGGCTCTTGCAAAATATTTTTTACAATGGTAGTAAGCTAAAGCAGAAGTTTTTAAAACATTTTACTTTATTGAGCTTTTAGCAGAACTTAATCATGTATTGCACAAAATTGTTCGAATCCTAATTCCTTAAAATCATTTTTGTTCCACAAGAAAAATTAATTTATGAAACTACAGATATTCTATAGTTGTTGAAGGGCATGAAGTAGGTTGAAGGAGGGTCAAGCACATATTAACATGCAATGATTCTGTTTTTGCAAAACTGATTTTAAAAAGTTGGAGATTGAGAGTCTAAAAATTATTTTATTTGAGGCACATAAATCTTTCTGCTAATATTCTAATTTTCTGTTTCACATTTTTCAGACTCAAATATTTTTTCTTTCTTTTTTCAAAAGTTCTAAAGTGATATTTTTTTCGCATGAAGAGTAAATATATTTATAAAATAACAAAGAAAAAAAAATATTTACCTAACATTAGCTAAATGCTTCCTGCTTTCAGACATTTTTTGTTTTTTCAGTTGGTCTTTCTGTCGTTTTTCATTTTTTATTTTTTGCCACCTACAATATATAAAGGTAATTAAATTTTCTGGAATGAATAAAATTAAATTACAATAATACATACAAGTAAAAGAAATTGGATTGATAAATAAGTTTAGTTGAATTATCTTCAATATTCTAAAATTAACACAGTTAAGCACAATTTATACTTATAAATCAAATAAATTATTAATAAAGAAAGAACAAAATCCTTTTTATTATTTTTAACACTTTGAAAGAAACCATACTCAACAATGGGTTTAAGGTGAGGTCGTATGATTAACAACATTAGTTTACATACATAAAAAAATAGAATGTTTACTGACTTGCTATAATGTTAGACGCTTCTATGTGAAAAAAAGGAAAAGTTTTAGTAAAAAAAGTATTTTTCTCAATATAATTTTAATTTAAATTTATTTAATTATTATTATACAGCTAGACGGTTAGAAATTGAATATTTTTAGATCAAATAATTTATCTTTTCCTTATAAAATATATTTAATTAAGATAAAACAAAGCATTTAATATTTCTGCACTTTTATTGAAAAATAAAGCATGATGACAGGCTTTTAACCCTCTGACTGCTCATCCCGCGATTTCCATGGGCATGTGTTTTTCTTTCTTTATTGATGAGCGCATCCCGTTTATTCCCCGTTTCAGCGGTATTAGATGTTTAATTTACGTTTTGACCAACAGATGTCGTTAGTTGTCCACTAAATTGCCTTATTTGAAAGCGCGTAGTGTAAAGCGATTTTGTAAGGGCCGAAAGCGCATAGTGTAAAGCAAATTTTTAAAGCGTCTTCGGTCCAAAAATGGAGCAATCAGAGGGTTAAAACCTATTAAACAAAAGCACACTTTAGTTGAAAAAAAAAATCTAAATATTGGAGCTAAGTATTTATAGGAATGTTTCATGCATTTAGAAATAAAGTTTTCACTGTCAAACAGAAATATTTTGGTCAGAAAAAATATTTTGCTATACTAGCACAACAGAGCAATATATAACTGCAATGAAAAATTATTTCTTTTCCACTATATTCAGTGTTTTTACTACAGCGAGAGAATCTAGCATATTTTCTTCTTTTCTCGCATTAAAAAATTATTACTGCGAGAAATTCGCGCATTCTATAAATCAATTTCAAAATTCGTGAATTTCTCGCATTTTGGAAAAAGCTTAGAATTACGCCATTTAGAATAAAATCCATTTCACTTTTCTTCCTGGATCTTTTATTATTTTCAACATCTGCCCTGTTATCTAGCTTCCCTATTTGCCAGTATTGTTCAGAACCTTTTCGAACAACAGAACACAACCACAGAACCCCTTTCAGAACACATTTCTCTGCAACCACGTGTTTACAGTAGGTTTGGTTTCTTCATGTAAGACGTTCAAATTTTTTATGTGCTAATGTAAGACGAACAAATACCTTGTAAAGGCAAAATCTTCTATGATGATGCACCAAAAATATTAATTCAGAGCTTTAAAAAATAGAAGACGTTCAAAATGTATTATAATTGAAGAAATGATTTTTTTTAAAGAGTTTTTGTGTTTCTTTAGTTTTTAGAAAGGGTGAGAAATTCTCACCCATTTTTTTTCTATGATGAAAACACTGATATTACAGTATTAAATGCTACTTACTCTTCTACTGTGAGTGGTTTAAAGTCTGCAGGATCTTCAGGATATTGCTGAAATGAAAAAAGAGAGGACCCCTGTCATTATTTTTTCATTTTTAATAAGTTCAAATTTACAAATATAATAACAGGACTTATTTGTACCTGTTACTCTTTACGTAAAATTAGAAACAAAATTATTTAAATGCAGTAAACTAAATTATACACTTCAACTATTTTCAACTATTTTTGGCTCATGTTTACTGGTATTACTTACGTCACATGCTAAAAATGTTAACAGATATTGCAAGGCTACCTAATTTTAAATTCGCTTATAAAATAAGAGTCATTTTATAATACTACTAAATATACATTTCAAAAATAAAAAGAAACTGCAGATATTTACCACAGACTACAGTTTTATTACTGCTTTACACTAATTCAATAAAAATCAAGCTATATACGTACACAAAATTATCATTTAGTAATGCTAAACATGGCAATAGCCCTTTACCTTAGAAAAACATCAGTGTAAGGAATACGGGGCAATGGCCCCTAATTTCTAAAAATTATTTATTAGAAAGGGACAATACAACTTAAAGTATAGACTTTTATTAAGCAAAAAACTTTTGAGTCAACAAAATTTGAAATCAACTAAGATTGGGACAAAATAGTGATAACCATACTCTTACCAAAGGTGAAATTTTTAAATCAAACTGTGCTTTTGCATTTTTTACAGATAGGTATGTATGTATTAAGAGTTTCTACTAGAAAACAGCACAAAATGCAGAAATATCTAATTGCCAACATGAAAACCACTGTAACTTCACCACAATTCCTTAACAATTTGAAAAAGGTTTATCATTAAATTGCCCCAAGCTCTTTAATGGATAACTGCTAACCACGTTTTAAACGATTATGATAAAACATTTAGGAAAGAGTTTAAACTCTACAATATCAAATTAAAAATTTGATAAAAAATGTTTAAAATTTTCTTTGGCAATATGATTGCTTAATTGAATAGTTATTAAATGACATAATTTACCTTTCTACATGCGGGGCACAATCCATTTTCATCTGTTCGAATACGGTGCCAACAAAATCTGCAGATCTGTAAGGGAAAGAAAAAAAAAACTTATATTTCTAGATACAAACAATAAAAATTATTCCCTAGCATTCAATTATGGTTACAAAAGGCAAGAATTATTTAAAATAACTGGTTTACTAATAAAATGTTACAAGACATAAGAACAGAATATAATAATTAGCTAACCTGATAACCACATGTGCAAGGGAAGAAGTTGAAATCATCCATCTCAAAAGGTTCCATGCATAACGGGCACTAAAACAGTTTTAATCAAGAATAAATTATAATTACTAAAAACTTTAAAACAATTTAAACTATGATAGTAAAATATTTCTCCTAAAAATATAACAGAGGTTTGATTAAAAAACATAGTAATTCAATGTGCTAAATTAGAGACTTTTTAAGACATTTCACAAAAGTTGTTTAAGTAAAAAACTTTAGATGAAACTTTTTATAAAATTAAGAACAGAGCTTTTTGAGTAGAAATATAAAAGTAATTAATCAGTAAAATGTAAGAAACATTACCTCGAGGTTTTGATCATCGTGGACTGACATTGTAAAAAAAGACTTGGAAGTATGACTAATCTGAAAAAAAAAAAATTAAATATGCTTTTATTATTTGACTATCACAAGAATTTGAAAAATATTATAATGCTAGAAGTTAAACATTACTTTCATCAGTTAAACAATAAAAAAATATTCACTTGGTATTCAAAATATTCATATAATATTAAAATAACTTTGTTTTAAAAAAGGAACTAACAGTTTATCATTTATTAATCTCCATTACACTCTTTGCAAATTAAATATTGCTTAAACATAAATGGTGAAACAATAAGTTGCCTGCAAATACAAGTATTTAATTAGAACTTTGTTTAAAAAACACATTTAGTCTTTTATGTCAAAGATATGATGTAAAAATAAATTATTTTCAATTAATACAAAATTACATAGTCCAGTCAAATTATTATGATCACCTGTCAACAGCCATAATCAACATTTTTCACAACATAGACTGTTGCAAGATGCATAGAAAGACAGCAATTGAGATTATGGAAGTGAGTCACAGAGGTGTAAAGCCTAACTGTGCAGTCAGTGTTTAAGGTCAGCTGCATTTAGTCAAGGATACATGATTTTTTATTTTTATATTATAACCATTGTTGAACAGCCGACCCAATTTTGGGTTTACAACTACTGATGTTCAAATCCGTACCCTTGCAATTTTGAACCAAATCCAGAAGATAAAGAAACTCCTGGATCAGCACCCACAGAGGTAAGATTTATTATGGGAACATGGAGGATTTTGAGACTCGATAGATTTAATGTGCATCAGCAACCATTCACTACACGGGGAGTCTTCGGCCAGCGGGGATCAAACCCACGACCTCTTGGACATCCCAGTGCCCTACCAACCAGACTAAGCCTTTTAAGGATACATGATTGAAGAAGTCAAGCAGTATAATGCGTCAAAAATGTAAAAAAATCATACAGAGAATGCAAAATTACGTTACCATGCACTTGAGGAGATGCACAGTACTCTAGTGCTAAAAAAATAGGCAAAATTATAAAGAAATTTTAAATGTATAATTTTCTTTTCCTCTTTTATTAGAGACTGAAGGAGAAAATTAGAATAATTCTGACTATCACCGTTGCTTTTCCTTGATACAAATGTTTAGTAACTTGTAATTAGAAACTTAGATTCTTCAAACATATTTTTTTTAAATCTTTGTTTTGTTTATTTATAGTATTAATAGATTGATATAGAGATAAAAAAATTACATTTTAAACAGGGACCTGTTTTTAGTAAAAAGGGACTAAGAAATTTAAAAGTCCTAGGTCCTAAGGACCTGTAGTTTTCAAAATTTAGCAAAATCTTTGGCTATGCCAATAACTTTAGACAGAACCATTTTGCAATGCACAGTATATACTTTATTAAGACAGAAAAAAATTTAGCAGTTTTTAATTATATAGCTTCAACTTCAATTGCTGCCTTCAATAATAGGTTTCTTTTTGGTAATTGACAAAAGTAGACAGTGGTCACATTGAGTTTTAAGATAGCTAATTATAAATTGAGCAGAAAAGATATTAATTTAAAATACAATATTCTGGCTTATTTTTATACTTTAATACATTAAAATTAGCAGAAAAGTAATCATTCAGATAAAATCAGAATGAGAAAGCTAGCTAAAATATCATTACAAGAAATAATAGAGAATGAAAAAATATTAATTATATGTGGTTGAAACGATAATTTAAGTAATGACGGAGGTTCCAAATAGTTGAATGCACATTAAGTTGCGAAATCTATCATAACAATAGAATGGCATTTCAAGTAACAAACAAGGTGAGATAAAAGAGTAAATAGAATTAAAATAAAATAAAAAATACATGTTGACAAGAAAGATAAATGAAGTCTACAGAATTTAAAGGGATGGTTTAATAACAATGGATCTATATCATTCATCTCTATAATGAACAATAACAATTTTGAAGTTTAATTTTTATTAGCTCACTACAGATTAAATTTTTTACCCATTTTTTGATGTAACCAAATCATTATGATAATTGTCTCACTAATGCTATAGATAATACATACTAGATTTTTTGAGCTATTTACTTTCAGCTTGTGATCTAATTAAGTAGAATAAATAAGAACAATCAAAAACTTAATTAACTTCAGTAAAATATAAATTAGAGACACTGCATTGCATGTTAAAAGCAAATGTTTTGCAAGCAAGATTTAATGTTGAAAATGATATTTTTCTTTGTATTCTTTAATCAATATTTTAAATTTACTCAAATAACAATTAAATAATACCATTAGTAATGCACAGGGTTGGACTTTTTGCCGGCAAAAAGGTTTTTTTGCCAGGACAGTGGCAATAACCTGGTAAAAACCGGCAAAAATCAAATGATCTAAATTGTTGATTAAATATTATTACAAAATACTTGAAACAAATTTAAATCAATCATAAGGAGTAATAATTTTTATAAGATTGAAAGTGCAGAGAAGTTATAGCCACAATTGATGATAGTGAATGGTGGCGGAGAGGGCAAAATTCTTGTGAAATTTCCAGACAATTTTGTTAATTAATGTCTCATTTACACTCATGTCCTTCCAGTAGTGCTGCCATTGAAAGAGTGTTTTCGAATTTTTCATTTGTACATTCTAAAATTCGGAATAGGTTGACTGTAAATAATGTTTCAAAACTAGTGCTCTGTTATGCTATGTTGAGACAACACAAATTGTATTGTGATGATGAATAAATTATTGAATTTGTGCATATTTAAAAAATTACATTGATACTTGTATATTTTAATTAACTACACATGTTGATAGATATTTTATGCTTTAAATTATATTTATATTGATTTAAAATAAGTTCATTTCACTGGAAAAAAAGAGAATAATCACTAATTTTCCGATCAATAATGTTTTAAACTACTAAAATGATATATTAATACATTATGGTTTAATTATTTAATAATTTGAATAATCATTTTGATATTTTTTTAAAATTATATATATTTATAGTATATATTTCAATTTTAGGAATAATTTTGCATCAAAAATGTGTTTTTGTCCTCTCATCTTGGAAAATATAGGTTTTTGCCACTTTGCTTCGCAAAAACCTGTTTTTGCCAGAACGGTTTTTACCACCTGCGGCAAAATCTTGCCAACCCTGGTAATGCAACATATGATTTAGATATGTCGTACTTTTTGAGCCCTTAAATTGCAAAGATAAATGAGAGGTTAATTTATATAAGGGTTATACTTATACAAAGGTTATACTACTGAACTTAATTAAAGATGTTTCCCCTTAAACATACTAAATGGCCCTTAGTATGAAAAATTTAACTGATCTGTATGAAAAATACCAAGGCATGAGAAGTAATATATATTAACTTGAAATAAACCCTTTAGTACATAAGGTGCAATTTTGAAGAGGTTTACATTATTTGAGAAATTTGAAATGTCTCAATTGCATTGGTCATTCATTTAGCTTGAACTAGCACTGTATTTTTTTAAAAATTTGTTTTTCAATAAGCAATCTTAAAGCATGACTTATACAACGAATACATACAAAACCAGGGGTCTGTCTAGGTTTTTCTGAAAGGTACCCATTTTGTGAAAATGTAGACATAATTTGTGAAAAATTAAAAATTATTTTAAAAAATCAACACAAAAATATGGTAAAAATATGGATTTATCATTTCTTAAGGGATGCAAAAATAAAATTTTAAGAAAAAGTATTTTGTGAAACTACCGTTTTTCCTAAAGTTGAATTTGTGAAGGTACCGCTAAACGGTAGTAAATTCGGCCTGGACAGACCCCTGAAAACCCTTCATCTTCAAGTTTAAAATAAGACATCAACTAACAGATCTACTTCAACACAGAAAATAGGAGTATTTAAAAGTTAGATTACTAAATATTTTAAATTCAGATAACATTTTGAATGACTTTGAGATTGAAATAGTTTCACTAATCAATTCAAATAACAGTTTATTAAATTAGAAACAAACGCATTAATTCAAATTAAAAAAAAATCTTATTTACTTACAGTAAATAAGGGCAAATATTTTAGATACAAAATAACATAAAATTAAATTAAAATAAATAAGGCATTAAAATTTATACCTTAGAATTTGCCAATCACTAATATAATGTAAAATCAGCGAAGGTTTTAACTCGATAATTTCAGAACTCGTACAAAAAGAAATATCTATATCTGAAAAGAAATCATTATAAGCATGTTGAAAAAATTTTTTTTTTAAGATATCAATGAAAAGATAAGGAATTTCTGAAATACATAACAGAAAACAAAATTTATTATTTATATTCTATTTGAAATAGGGTGAAATTTTTCCATATTTAATGCATAACATGTGGAATAAAACTGTTTCATTATTTTACTCAAAATAAACTACTAAGCAATATAAAATCACAATATAAAGTAAAAAATATCTTTCCTCACGATTATGATGACTCATTAAGTTTTTATCACCCATAGAATAATGATTTATACAGATGCATTGTAAACATTTATGCATCTTGAAATGCCAATAATTTTATTTGAAATTCAGTTCAAATTAATAAAGAAAATCATTGAATTCAGCTAGGACAATGACATTAAAAAGATCTGAATCACAATAGCTGTGACATTGATAACTAGCAAAGTTTTAAATTTAGTAGTATTTGCTTACGATAGGAATAAAATGAATTACACATAAATTAAAATAGTATTAATTAATTATTAAAATTATCAGATTTGAATAGGCAATCACTATACATTGAATTCAGTTAGGACATTGACATTAAAAAGATCTGAATCACTATAATAGCTGTGAAATTGATAATTAACATTCAAAGTTGCACAAACTTGTTTGAATCGTAAAATATTAGATTTATTACAGGTGTTTTATACGTAATTCATAAAATGAATTTAATGATTAACATAATATTTACAAGATCCCATCATACATTTAGAAAGAAATGATGTAGAATATTCCTTGAACAACTTAAATTATCAAATTAATAAAGAAAATTAATTGAAGTTATACATTAAGAAAATCTTAATTTAAGAAAAAAAGCCTTTGTTTGTTAAGTACTACGATATTGATGTCAATTGCTCGAAAATATTTCAACAAGAAAATAAATTTAATTTATACAACTTCCTAAGAAATTTTAATTCTTTCACTTAAATGAACGATTATTTAGTACAAAGTAAAAGGCTAAAAATAAGGTCATATTAGGATATGTTTACATGTCAATAAATCAAAGTTAGCATATGCCAAAGGTATAGGTAAGCCTTATTTATATCGTGATCAGTATTGGATAAGTAGTTTGGAATTGAATCTAATTGAGTTAAGATATAACGTTACAATTATGCTTTATTTAATGAATATAGACGAATTCTTATTCGGCCTGATTAAAAAAATTGTAAACGTCCTAACTTGGCAACCTTAGGATCTGATTCATTCATTAACCCATTTAGATCCTAGTTTATGAAAAATGAAAAAAAATTAGTTAATTAATAAATTATTGTTAACGACCTTTAATTTTTTTTATTATTTTGAGCTTATTTAATTAGATACTTAACCACATATATTTATCGTAGTTCCAGATACAACCTCACTTGTCAAGTCTATCAACTATAGTTATGGTTTCTTTGCGCAATGATCTGCGCAACTAACCCGGATGAATAAAATATTTTTACACTACGTCTACATGTACATCACTGATCATCAACATCATCATCTGATGAACAGGTCGAATTTCAATCAAAAACAAATATAATAAGTGATTTTATTATCAAATATAAGCAATTACTATGCTTAAGACAATTAAATTTGATAATGATTTTGTTTACAATAAATAAAAAGAAAATTCAATAAAAAATAGATTTAAATGTACCCCGTAGTTGCTTTAAATAAATCATGAAATTTTAATGCACGTGAATATAATATAGTACTCAAAATTTTTGAAATTAAATGTAATCTTTTTTTAGTTTGCTTACAGTATGATTACTCCTGATTTTTAGTTTTAAAAGAAAAGTCTAGGTGTCGCTGTAGTTTCGACATGTGTCCTGCTTATTTATTTCTGGGGATTCGGGACGCAGTGTTTTCTTACCTTGTGTGTTCTTTTAAGATTGGAAACTATACAGAACTCTAGACTGCATTAAGCATAGCTCTTAATGGATAAAAATTAGGATAGGAATTTTAAAATATACTTTTGATGATCAAAATGCGAAAAATATTGGCGATTGAAATGGCCTACAGGTGGCGTTGAGCAGACTCTCTACCTGTGGCAGCACTTTGCATACTTTCACCATTAACGTGTGGTGAGTCATAGAAGAAGGAAGTGACACAGTTTCTGTCTTGATTAAGAGCTTTTAAGTTAGGAAACTTTATGGAACTGAAAACTACATTAAACATAATTCTAAAAGAAAGCATTGTGGAAATGAAAAAAAAATTTTTTTTTTCGATAGTTAAATACGGAAAATATAAAGAAAGGGGAAAATATCGTAGGGGAAGGGAGTTGGGTCAAGACATGGAACCGGTCACCTCCCCAGATGGTTTATTCGAGCGCTGCGATCCCGAATTATAGAAGGAAAGGAAGAATATTATAGAAAAATATATATACATTGCAGAGATGAACATCCTTCATTCAGAATAATGAATAATCATTCGAAATCTTCCTGAACAATAAATAAAGATTTATTCATTAGTCAGAAATATTTTGAATAAAGAATAAATCATTCATAATTTACAATCATTATTCTTTATTCATTAGTCAAGAAGAAGCGAATAATTTCACTGATCAACAGAAAAGGGCACGGAATACTCTACAATTGTGACAACTACAAATAAAAAGAACATAGTAATAAACTACTTGCAATCTTTTTTATAAGTTGCAATTGCAACTTACTTAAGTAACGATTTCAGATAAAAAGTTATTATGATTACCTGTGATCACAAGAGTGCGTGATAACTCGTATATGGTAACAAATGACCAAAATATTTTATTTTAAGCAATTATTGTAATCAATATATGCGATTATAAGCAGTCATTTCTACCAGTAATCATAATATAACGATTATAAGTAATCTCAAATACGAAAAATTGTAAAAATAGTTACAGCACGAATACAGAAATATGTTGTACATACATGCGCACTTAACTACTCTAGGTTCGTTCATATATATGCACGAACGAGCACTGTATATTAATGATTGCATGAATAAGTAAAAAAAAAAAAAAAAAATAGTGCGTGGAGTCCTTCCACGCGGAAAAAGTTAAACTTCGCAACCTGCGAAGCTAATTGTAGAAGAATCAGCAGTCGTAGAAGGATCACTAGTTCTATTCAACGACTCTTTTTCCTGCTCCGATCGCTTCCGTGCTCTGTAATCACGGTAATATTGTGTATTTTTCCCTCGTGGACCTCTTGAACCAGTGGAAGTGCTTGTGGTTGCCTCATCGTCTCGCCCTGGAAAATGTATTTGTATTAATGATGCATGTGAATGCGTCATAACGTAATTTCAGAAGAGAAAACCTAACATTCAATTGATATTCACGAGAGACGTACCTTGACATAACCCTGAATCCGTCGCATTGTTTGTGGGATTGTTTTCACTCATTTTTTACAAATGTTATTCACTAAATTTGAAAATAAAAATTACTACCCTATTAAATTATATGTGTATCAAAACAAACTAAAAAAAATGTTTATAGAAAAGCAATACTTTTATGACTTTTATTATTTTTATGCTAGTGAGAACCAAAACAATATGGAAATGAATGAGGGAAAACTGAATCCTACTACGTGATTTCCCGGCCAATAAAAATGTAGCGTTAGACGTTTAACGCAACCTTGTTGGAAGTCGCATAAGAAGTATAACTTCAAAAAAATTGAATGTTTACATGCGTACATGCATTGTTATTACATAGTATGTCCATATTTATGTACATATGTGCACGTATAATGCATAAATTATGTATACATGTCTACATAAGTAGTACAAACAATGTATGTTGTATGCATGCGTGCTCATGTACATACAATATGTGCAAGTATGTAAGCAAACGTACTCATGTGTGTACAGATGCACATATAGTGTACGTGTGTAAATAATGTACATATACACATAAAATATATACAATATATATATTTTATGTGTATATGTACATTATTTACATACGCACACTATATGTGCATCTGTACACACATGAGTACGTTTGCGTATACATGAGTACATATATGTATGCATGAAAAAATTTGCATACATAAGTACATATGCGTACGTTACATGCAAAACACGTACAAATGTATGTATACAATACGTATGTTCACACAATGTATTTACGTATGTACTAAGTAATAGCAATGTATATATGTTAGTTAGCTCATACAACGTACCCCATGTATATGTACAGACGTGCATAAAAGAGTTGGGCGTCGATTACAGTAATCGATTACAGACAATTACGGCTCTGCAATTACTTGTAATTAACTACTTGTAATCGTGATGACTATTTTCAATGCATGTATTTCCGTATGCACAACACATGTGTGTATAATTATCTATACATTGGTTTTACATATATATCGTACTTATGTACGTACATACAGTGTGCATGCATACATTGTACACATGTACCTACATACATTCGACGTGCATTTATTGTAGTTCAATTATGTGCAAACATATATTGGGCATACCTGTTTTGTACTTATGTGCATACAGATTTCTCCAATGTATATATATATGCGTGTGTGTGTGAGTGTGTGTGTGTAAAATATATCTAAATATATTTACAATACAAATGTACAATTTATGTAAATTATCTGAATTTCAAAACTTTAATTATAAAGACTACTATAATAACGACTCGAGCAATTGGGTATAATATAGCCTACGTCACAGGTTGTGTTGTTCCTACTAAATTTAACCCATGAACGGCATTTTCTGCGAGCCTAACTTCAAGCCACAAATAAACAAACGATGTGTTCGATCGTTTAAATAGCTGCTCGCCAGATTTTATTGCATTATAAACAAAAGTTATTGAAACTAAATACAACTAAATAAACAACAACAACTAAAACAAATCACAACAACTACTAATAACAATAACTAAATAAACAACAACTAAATTCCATTCGTTTAGCATTGCGTCATATGTTGCTCCTACTAAATCGAAGTAGTTGTGTTTGTTTCATATTATACCCAATTTAAATGACTAAATCAAACGATATTTAAAATCAATTGTCAGTTTCAATTGTTCAGTTAAAAAATATTTGGAAAAAAAATTCTTTTCAAGTACTTTTATAAAATTTTTGAGACTTCAAATTTACAATTATATAACATAAAGCATAGTTCAGAAAAATGTTTACATGACAAAAAAGCGTTTAATTTTTTTAAGTTGAAAATATATTTAGGAATTTAAAATAAGATAATGGTTTGCTTTCAAAAACAATAAGAAATTGAGTTTTATTGTTAGTGGAACAAATTTTAAAATGAACTTAAATAACTAAATTGCTATAAACTTCTTTGAAACACAACTAATTATAAGAACTTATACAACAATAATGTTACGTTGGAATAAGTTAAAATAACATAAAAATAAATATTCATACTTGTCTCAATTTTATGGCTAAATTACTAATATAAAACGGTGTGTAAACGATGTTTTGCATCTCGGTTCGTGGAAAGACATAGCCTTGATGGTAAACGAGTTTTACTTACATACACATAATGTGTGCACATACATATATGGTAAATACATATATTTCTCGTGCATGCACACATTTATACATTATATGCTCTTACGTACATGCATACATTGAATATACATACGTATAATGCAAGTCCATACGATGCGCATAGATATGTGCGTACATACATATGAACATGCAATACTCGTGCAAACCATATGACAAACCATACATGAATTTTATATGCATAAATATTCACATATATCGTATGTATAATTATCATTCGAAATCTTCCTGAACAATAAATAAAGATTTATTCATTAGTCAGAAATATTTTGAATAAAGAATAAATCATTCATAATAAACCAATTTCTTACGTACAGAGTATGTACATACCTACATTCATACTATAAATGCATCTGCATGCATAAATACCTGCATACGTACTTACATATATTATCTACGAAATACCACACATGCTTACTTGCATATTATATGCAAAATTATGTAAGTATAATGGACGTAAAAATAGCGTTTGTGTATTTACATCTGCTCATTCATACATATATCTAATATGTATACGTACATACATACATGTACATGCATACGTACAAATATTGTCTAAGTTTAAAATATATCTATGTGTACGCATGCTAAATATGCATGTATACGTCCACATACATACGAGCTTACATACATTGCTCGTAAATTAATAAATTGTATTTATATACGTACGTTCATTCAACGAACATAAAAATATGTTAACACATGCATATATGAACTGAATAAGCATATGGTATGCAATCGTAATTACTTGTAATCGTATATTTTAAATACATGTACTCGCAATTGCTTGCAATCACAATCGCATGTAAACATGACTACATGGAATCATATACTTTGATTACTCAATCAGAATCACTTGTAATCGTTTCTTATTGTGATTGCAAGTAATCGTAATATAATTTAATTCGTGATTTATGTACTTATTTTTGTATGTAGTTCTATGTTTAAAAGTTTTCATTTAATAAACCAAACAATAGCAAACTATATTCATTTATGTATAGAATTTTTGTATTGTTTTAAAAGTATTCAATAATCTACAATCCCTATTAAAATGTAATCAAGCCCACTTGAAATTATGATTAAATCGAATCGTGTTGTAATCATGTATATCACAATTGCTTGAATTTAAGATTACCTGTTATTGTTAGATTATAATAACTTGTAGTTAGGATTCCTTGTCATCTTGCTTTATGATTACAAGTAGTCACAATGACTTGCAATCCCAGGGCTTGATTATTTGTAATTCTGATTATCTGTAATATCTTTTTATTATAATTATAAATAATCATAATCTCTTGTAATGAGAAACAATAATTATTTGTTATTGTGATTACTTGTAATCATGATCATTACAAGTTGTTGATTACTAAGCAATCTTTAGCTATAATTAAATACATTTGTAATCGATTACTGTAATCGACGTGCAACTTGCAATGAAAATGACACAATGCTTGCTTTTTTAGCTGGTTATTAAGATTTTAATCAGAAAAATTAATCATGATTAATGAATTCATTCATCAATCATTATTCAAAAATTTGCATAATGAATGATGAATAATGACTAAATCTGCATATGAATAATCATACAGATTAAATTTATTCTGTCTAAACTTAGTCATCAATAAAATTTTCGAGAATAATGCCCATCACTCATACATTCCTATGCATCTGAGCAGAGGAGGAGAGGGAAGGGGAAGGCATAAGACATGGAATTTTAACTAGATCTTGAAGTAAAGTCACTTAACCTGATTAACTAGCAAAGTAAACTTTTTATTAACTTAAGTCAAGTAAGTTTTTATAAACTTAATCAAGAATTTTTAACTTATACAAGTTTAAGAAGATATTTTGAAAAGAGTTTTAGTTTACATAAAATCTTTAATAATCTATATATATATTTCTCTTACACGGCGACAAAAAAAGCCTCATTACAACTCCCCGAATGGCAAAGCTAGAAAATCGACCAATGATTGCAGCTAAAAATGTCACACGCAAAATCTAGCTGAGATGGCTCAACATATAGCGCTTTTAAAAACGGAAACTGAAATAACCAGAGAGAGCATTTGCGGTGCGCAAGAGCAATAACATAACAAGCATTTAAATTTAGTTTTATAAAAAATAAAAACAACGCGTTGCTAAGATAACTCAATAATAATTATTCTCTTGACGTTCCAGACATTGGGATGTAAAAGTATTAATGGCTTATAAATTTTATATTAACTTTTAAATAACTGCGTATATTAAATGTTGTGATGTCTCCAATTTACTTCGTTTTTATTTATCCAAAATCACATATAGTAGGAAGATAGAAAACCTTCCCTTACACATTCTCACCAAATGTGATATCTTCCGAAATTCACCCTATCACCAATCTCATACTATTAAGCTAGGCAGAAGTGAGTATTTTGTCGAAAGCGCTTTTTTTTTCTCACGAATTTATATATTACGAATTTATTTGACGATTTTTTATTTATATCACGAATTTATTTGTTTTATTATTGTTATTAGTTATTCATTGAAAAATGAGTCTCAGTCGTGCCGTTACTTTTGAAGTGTAATCAAAAGAAGCGTGCTCGAAGATTGGAAGAGAGCATTGATGACAGCTATGAAAGACGTACATGGTTATTATTTTTTAAAAACATAATGCTTTGTTTATGCAGGGTTTTTCCATTGCAATTCACTTATTTCAATTTTTAATAGACTTAATTATAGCCAAAATTTTAACCTTTTTAAAGAGATATCAGTTTTAGAAATTTTATCTTAAGATTTTATAATATAGCACATTTCTAATAGGTTTAACGAATTACATGTCATTTATTTGAATTCAGATTTATTTTAATGACTTAGTATTTACTAAAAAGATGTAATTTTTTTTTAAAAAAAAGGTTGTTATATGGATTCGAATGATTGTTTTGAATTCTTAGAATTTTGTGCAATTACAATGTACCTAAGTTAGTAGCGAGCGAAGTGAGCTTGGTTTGCGAAGCAAACCATATAAGATTGCATAGCAATTTTTGGGGTTTGGCAAGCGTTAGCGAGCAGGGGGCGCCGCCCACTAGTATTGTATAATATGCCAACTCAATAGACATTTGATAATTGTTAAAATTATCGCAGGTTTTAAAACTTTAATTTAAAGAAATTTTCTATTAAGAAGATTAACAATATAGGTGCAGATAGGCTCATTTTAAAAACAGTTGTTCCGAGAAATTTCTTAACAAAAAATATTTATCATTTATAAGTATTGCTCAATTCAATTTTAGAGTTAAAAAAATCAGTGATAGAATTTCATGCCTGATTTAAAAAAATGGAATTTAATATCAAAAAAAATTATTAGTGCTTAGTAACTAATGTTTTTTCTTTAACACTTATTAAGTTGAATGACTTGCATAAAGGGTTATTTTTGATATCATTTTTTGAACACTCATAAGCAATTTATTTTGCATACCAAACACGAAATCTGGAAATTTTCTCACAAGATCAGCTTTATATTTTCTGAGCATTTTAATGTACTAGATAAAATGTAAAAGCTGATAGCAGCTTATCTGTCTTTATCTTCAGTTGAATTTGGAAAAAGGTGTGACCGACAATCGAACAACCCCTAATTGAAACACGTAAACCATTCAAATTTTAAAGCATTCAGACAAACATTTAAAAAACATAATGTACTTAAGTTTCTATATTAAGAAATCGCAGGGGCCGCCATCTCTGTTCAACTTGACGTTTTTGTTTTATTGCGTAAGAACTTTAAGACTTCGAAACTTGCAATTACTAAGATGTGCAGCAAAATATACACAGGAATTACGATGGAATAAAAAAATTAATTTTCGAGAATTAGTTCGAGGATTAATTCTGTTAAATTTGTTGGAAAAAAATACTGGTAGCACGAATGCAACTACAGAGTTGAAATTCGACATACTGAAAGGGCCATTTTCATTTATGAGCTGGACATGATTTTTTTTTTCTTTTTTGAAATTCTTAAATTCTTTTTTGCTTGAAAGTTGTTGCAATTTTAAGTTTACTTTTTACAATTTCTTAAAAACTTTTTTTGCTTTACATTACATTTTATTTTGTCTTGCAAAAACTTTAAGACTTGAAAGCTTGAAATTATGATGCTGTATAGGAAAATGTACAAGGACTTCGATGGAATAGAAAAAATTAAGATTCAATTATTAATTCGCGAATTAACAACTGTTGAAATTCTAGGGAAAAAAATCGTGTTGGCTGATCTACTGCCTACTGAAAGGTAACTACACAGTTGAAATTTGATAGGTTTAAAAGAACATTTTCAATAATAAATTTAACGAGAGTTTTTTTTTCGAAAGGAATTTTTTTTGCATTTTTTCTCTTTAAATAATAATTACTTATCCATTGTTGTAGTAAAATTTATTTTTCTCTTTTATAAATTCTCGTTTTTTTTTAAAGTTAATTAATTAATTTATTAAAGCTAAATCACAAGCGATGTTTTTATTTTTAAGTAATATATATATATTTAAATTTTTAATATGAACAGACTTAGGCTTATTCGAGATTGGCATGAAAATGTTTTATCAAAAGAGAAACAATGAATTAATTTTAACAATTAAATTAATACTAATTTTTAGTTATTCACTGAACTGTGGTGCAATAAATAAATAGTTTCAAAATTTTACTCAATGTTTATGCAAAACTGTTTTGCATTATACACAATTTTTTTGAAGAGGTTTTTAAATCAGGGAAAATGTGAGAGCGCGCAAATCATTATTTTACCTCTAGTCCTCGACCTCTTTTTATTGATCATGTGAGTTGGGCATATACTAATTATCTGCGAAATTTGACAAAATTTTGATAAAATAGTGCTTTACCTCAACTCCAATTATTAATCCAGTTTAGGGAAAAAATGAAAACTGATTTTTTATTCATTGAAAAGACAGACAGAAGTTATGAGTCTTTAAGATTAAGAACAACTCCAAATTATTTCTATAAAAATGAAGAAATTTTTTTATTTATTTATGTACACCTTATTATTCTAGGGTAATGATTCTCCGTTAGTTTTCTTTAGCTGTTACAATTTTTAGTATCTTACATTAGTCTGAAATTTTATAGAATTTCGTTCTAACATTCTGATTAAAATTCCTTTATCTCTAATCCTGTTTTGCAATGATAAGTGCAGTCGTTTTTACGAATTTTATTTAACTTTTTGATTACTGTTAATCTTCAATTCATTACGGCGTGGGAAAACTAGCAAATGATTCAGGTGATGGTATAAATACCTTACATAATTTCAGTGATCAAAAGAGCATAATAGCAAGGAGCAAAGGCTTACTTCAAAAGTAAGCCGCAAAATATACTCACAAATTACAATTTAAAAATGTAAGTATTTTTTTTAAGTTTCAATATTTTTGTCACTAAAAATTGACCATTTTTTTGGTTTTGTCTACGATTGACTAAATATTTTGAGAGGTTAAAGGTTTATAAAGGTTAAGTTAAAGGTATATATATATACAATATACACACACAGTACTATTAGTATGATGCATTTTTAATATACTCAACATATTTATTTTATATGCTTGCTTATTTAGTATACATATGTTTAATTTTTAAATTTGATGTTAAATTTGAATATGGAAAGATCAAGGATAAAAAGTGGCATGAAATTTTTAAAATGACCGTGTAAAAAATTATAAAAAAGATGTTCTTGTTCTGTTAAATTAATTATTGACGTTTATTCCTTCAAAACAATATCATACCTTGTGGCAAAAATGATTTTCAAGAGTATATGAAGGGTTAAATAGTTGTATTTATATATATTTTTTATAAGTATATTTTTTTTGCCTAAAAACTGGAGGATTAATGAAATTCTAGGTGCTTGAATGTTGAAAAGAAATCAAGGAACAAACCTATTCGCCATAAACTTTAGGCCAAAAATGATTCTGAATAGAGTAGAACGAAATTTTCATCAATCAATTGAAAATGTCAATCGTTGGAAAACACTCAAGGATTAAAGACTTTAATAAGATGAACAAAATAGTTTTTTTGTATTTTTTCCTCATTATTTATTTTTATAATTATGTGCACATTAAAGACATAAATTTACATATTTATTGCAGAATAATATTAAAATTGTTTTGATGAACAATTTTTCATAATGAAACAGAAGTTTAAAATAGTTGTTTAGAAAACGAATATTAGATTAGATCGAGAATAATATTTAAGTAGAACTCCTTTCTAAAATAAATAAATAAATAAAATTGAATCTTGTTTAGTGAATCTTGATTAATTGAATTAATAAAATTGAATTAAATTGAAATAAAATTGAAATAAAATTGAAATATAATTGAAATAAAATTGAATCTTGTTCAATTGTACGCACTTTTTTCATATAAAAAAAGGTACAAAAAATATACAGCTTGAGTATTTTTATTTTATAAAAAAAAGGTAAAATAAAAAAGTCAGGCACCATATTTGTGTAAATATTACGCAAAAAGTATATTGCAGTTAGATGAATCTAAAAACGAAAGTTAGAAAACGATTTTTAAAACCCTGGATTTTTTGGTAGAATTCAAATTTTTTAAATATACTAATTTTTTGGTTTTAAACTTTTTTTTTCAAGTAAAAAATGTTTGTACATTTTCATTTGAAAGACAAGGTATTTTCAAGCTATAATTATTTTATTCAAAGTGCATTGTGTGATAAAAGTTCAAAATGAAAAATTAGAAAATAATTTAAAACGTTTGTATTTGGTTTTAAATATATTTGCAGGTCTTTTATTTACTAACCTTTTATTTAAAAAAAAAAAGGTTAAAAGGGACTTGCTTTTCACTTCGCTATCTGTACTTTTAATTTTGATTATTTTTGATCAGGGAGCTGTATCTGTTATTACTCTCTGCTGTATTGATGACAGTCTGCGATTGCAACAATTATTTTGAACGTAAGTTTCTGTGAAATTTGTAAATTGTTAAATATTTTGGGTGAAGTTTTGAAACATGTGTTAAATATGGGTAATACACTCTCTTAAATATGGGTAATACACTCTCTTAAATATGGGTAATGAGGTATCGGCTTAGGTGCTAAGCACGTCGTCTTGAAAATTTCAGAATGAAAATTACGTTGCATTCATAATGGCTTTTGATTGGTGTTTTGAAACTTAAAATAATGTTTTCATTTTAAAGATAAGAAAAAAGGTAGATTAAGTTTAATGTCAAAAAAAGAGCTCAAACTTATAGCTTTTTCCGTTCATTTTCTAAATTTCTTTTCATACTAATAAGTGCTTCATCAAAGTCAACTGTTTTTTCCGGTTATTAAAATTTAAAAAAAAAATAAGTAAAAATAATGGACCTATTCAGATCTTTCTGTTCCACTAAAGAATAAAAAGCTTTTTCTTATAATATATATATATATA